CCCAAATCAAGCCACACATTATTTAACACCCAATTAATCAAATAAATCACATAAGTAATTTAAAACAAATAAACATATAACATGAAGCCAAATAAGCACATAACCACGTAAGCATCTAAAATACAATAAAATAAATAATTAAATCCCTTTTATATCCTTTTGAAAACTAGGGGTGTTACATTCTTCCCCGCTAACAAAAGGAATTCCGTTATCGGAATTCACGAAACTCTGAATTATTTGTAACGATCTACTATATCACATAGTATGATATTGTCCGCTTTGGGCCTGAGCCCGCACGGTTTTACTCTTGGGTTTCACCCCAAAAAGCCTCATACCAATTGGAGTGACACACCTACATATAAACGCTTCATTTTTCCCTTTCCCATGCAATATGGGATTGTGCACCCGTAACTCGCCAGTGTGGTAGCCTGTCAGTGTCTCGCACCTGCCCACTGCATATCCGCTCACATGGTCATCACAATCCACCTCCCTTGGAGGCCTGACGTTCCCGTCGACACACTTTTGGCTGGGTTAGGCTTTGATACTATTTGTAACGATCTACACCATCACATGGTATGATATTGTTCGCTTTGGACCTGAACCCGTACGGTTTTACTCTTGAACTTCACCCCAAAAGGCCTCATACCAACTGGAATGACACACCTACATATAAGCACTTCACCTTTCCCTTTCCCAGGCGATGTGGGATTGTGCACCCGTAACTCACTAGTGCGGTAGCCTGTCAGTGTTTTGCACCCGACCATAGGGTTATTACATAACTTAATAGCCAGTCCATCCAATATGCCCCCATATCCTGACAATGCTACATTAATCTGAACCATATCCTGACAATAGTTCCCACACAATCAATTAAATGATGCAAGCAATTATATACATCAAACGATCCAGAAAAATACATGATAATGATCATACAGATATCCATTACATTTAAATTAAGTAATATAAACAACAATTCTAAATAACATGTAATTAACTTACTAAACAGGTAATTAACTTACATCTTAATTAAATTGCATAACCTCTTTTAGTCTATATTAATCCAATATGGTTAATAGCTTAATCCTCAATTATATTCACATGATGGTTATTACCATTTATAACACAAGTAATAATATAAATCTCAGCAAAATATCTTTTTATGATTAATAATCCGATTCATATCATAAATCATAAATATAACTACCATTAACCATGAACCCACTACGCTAACAATTTCATTGGTCGAGCCTTGGTCCAGAGGCGAGATAATACTACTAAAATGCTTAACTAAAAATGTCTTACTCTGAATACTAATTTAAAATTTATATTAGTCCATTCTAGCCTTTATAATTCATATTATAGCATATAAATTCATACTAGACATTCTGGTAATTTTCCAAGTCCAATTAACCAATTTAAATTAATTAAAATGGATTAAAACAATTTATGGGAAATAAAACTTCAAAACTCTAACTTTCAGACCAACTAAGTCGACTCATTCCATAATGAGTCGGCTTAGTTTACAATTGAGTCGACTTCTTCTCAAAAAAATCGACTCCTTCAGCAACTGAGTCGACTTAGTTATAACTGAGTCGGCTCGTTCTTGCTGTGGGTCGTCTTCTCCACTTTCCAGCCTCTGTAACTCTTCCAAACTCCATTGTTATGGGTCATAAGCTTTAGTTCTAAGTCCCAAACATTTCCAATAATTTATTTAAGATAATTATACATTCTTACAACAAGATTAAACAACAAATCATGCTTTAAATCACAAAATCATACAAATCAAGAATACACACATAGACACATATTTAATTTCAGTTTTGATCCGATTAAAGCATGCAAACAGGTTCATTAATCTTCTATAATCATCCTAAAATTGTCCTAAACATGTATTAAACCCTAGATCAAAGACGAGGAGTAGAACATATAACTTGCCTTTAAGGATTTTGGTTTAAAACCCAACTCCTTCCTTTTTCGGCCAACTCGTCGACGCCGGCAGCCTTCGGGTTGCCGCTGTGCACCTCTGTTGGTCCGGTCCTAACCCACACACAGTTTCCTTCCTTCCTCCTCCTTAGGTCGGCCTTGATCTTGGCCTTGGCTCTCACAAATTCTCTTTGCGTTCCTCCTTATCTCTCTCTCTGTCTCTAAAACTCACGTAGAAAACCAACCCCTCTAGCAGACTATATATATAGGCTACATAACATTGCCCTAATACTAATCCTAGTTATATTATAATTCTGCCATACAAAATAAGAAAAGAAAAATAATATAATAATTATAGTAACCATATACTTCATCTGATACGTAATACACACACACACACACACACATAAATATATATATATAACTCCTCCATGATATTTTAATAATAATAAAAATCATAATAATGTCATATTTACCGTGTGTGTGTGTGTGTGTGTGTGTATATCCAACTAAAACTACTATGTAATAATAATAATAATAATAATACATACTATAATAATACACGTACATATATATATAGGCATATAAAGTGAACCCTCCCTTATTATTATTAATAATTATAATAATACTACTAATAATAATATCCATATACACACACACACACACATTAATATATATAACTAATACCAATGGGCCATAAATCTTACCCATCTAGGCTTCTTATCCAAGTAGTCCATGCGACCCATTTAGTTGGTCCATTACTACTATCCAAATCCATTCATTTTAAAATAAAATAAAATAAAATAGACAATTAAACATTTAACTAACACATAATTACAAACAAGTACACAATTAAGTCACATAGATCATATCACATAAATGCACACAAACAAAATACATAATACACATCAAACAATTAAATTATTTAAGCACATAACATATAAACATATAGCCACATAATAATAAATAAAAAAATGAAATAAAATAATTAATTAAATTCCAATTATGTCCTTTTAAAAATTAGGGGTATTACACCTTATGACAACGGGGTGACATTCTTGGCCTTCAATTGTCATAACTGGTCTTACACACACAAAATATGGTTCTCGTGAGGTTATCATGACATTTCAGAAGCTAACTAAATGGTTATCCTTTTACGGGATGTATCGGTAGCTCTCCGTACTCAGAACCATCACTTTTGGCCTTGCTTTTCGTATTCAAGTATACTTTTATTCTCTTTACCATTACATTGCTTATCTTGCTCATTTTATCTATTTTATGTTATTTACTTTATTCTTGATGTAAAATGAACACACACGTGTCTTATGATAATGGGATAACATTCTTGGCTTTCTGTTATCATAGTTGGCTTTATACACGCAAAAGGTGGTTCTCATGATGTTATCATGACATTTTGAAAGTTAACTAAATGGTTATCCCTTCACGGGATGTACCGATAGCTTTTCGTACTCCGGACCACCATTAAGGGCATTTTAACACTTCACAAATACATTAACCATCAAATTGGACATTTTTTACATTTTTCTTTACAAAACAACCATCCCGGTCATTCCCGGCCATTTTTTACATCAAAAATGGCTTTAACTTGAAAATGGACATTTCATTTAAAAGATGTCATTTTTGCTGTTTTTCGACACTCTTGGAACCCGTTTTAGTTAAAATGGTCATTCTAGTCATTTAAGACTTCTTCAAAAACTCAATTTTAAGTAAGTGGTCATTTTTGCCCTTTTTGACACCCAAAAATGTTTTCGTATGAAATTGGTCTTTTTGTTCACTTTCGACAACTCGAAAACTCACTTTTTAGTAAGTGGTAATTTTTAGCCTTTTTGGCATCAAAAATAATTTTCTTACCAAAATGATCATTTTTGGCACTTATGATACAAAAACACTTTTTCAAAAGAGCAGAGAAACCGAAAGTTTCTACCGAAAAGAACACCGAACTTGACGCCACGTCAGACAATTTCATTACGCCTAAGACGCTATCTTTCTTTCTTTTTTTTTTTTTGTTTTTTTTTTTTCCTCTTTCTTTCTCTTCCTTTTCGTTTATTAATTCTAATCTAAGACTGGGTCCAAACGTTTGGATGGAATATATACACATATCAAAGTTTCTGTTTGATTTTCATGGATACAAAATTTGAAGAACAGAAACAATAGTTGTAGTTTTTTTTTTTGTTTTTTTTTTTTGTTTTTTGTACCTTCTGTATTGATAAAACATGAAAGAAATTTAATTAATTTATTTTTTATCTTCAATTTTGCAAAGTCAAAAGGAGAAAGACAAAACGAGAATCGATTGAGAAGAGATTGAATATAAAAGAAAATTAGAGAATTAGAGGAAGAGAGGAGAGAGAAACGAAGAGGTAGGAGCATCTCAAGTGTTTATATTTTAAAAAAATAATCTAACGTGGCTAAGCCACGTTAAGTTCCACCTCTCATTCGATTGTTTGGTTGGATTCTCCTATCATTTTCCTTTTAAAAATAAAGTGAATATTTTGATTCTTTTCGGGCATAAAAAACCAACAATAGTTGGAGGGTTGTCTATTTGTTTTTTTGGAGACAAAACGAGAATCGATTGAGATGAGATAAGATTGAATTGAAAGAAAAATAGAGAATTAGAGGAAGAGAGAAGAGAGAAACGAAGATGTAGGAGCATCTGATGTGTTTATATTTTTAAGAAATAATCTAACGGGGTTTAAGTTCCACCTCTCATCCGATTATTTGGTTGGATTCTCCTACCATTTTCTTTTTAAAAATAAAGTACCATTTTCTTTTTAAAAATAAAGTGAATATTTGGATTCTTTTCGGGCATAAAAAACCACTTCGAGGGTGGGGAGGTGAGTATTTTTCAAGTAACCAAAATGACCTCTAAAATACAAACGCCTATTTCCAAGTTCAATGTCGCGGTAACACAAATCGGACGGCATTCACTTTCCCTTCTAATTCAACCAATCAGACAATAAAAAGTTTATTTTTTTTAAAAAAAAGAAGGCAAAATGTTTAATTTATTCTCGTATAATGTCCAATTTCCATCAATTATTATATATGTTGGAATGACAAGTAAAAATTGGTTGATATTGCGGATAAGACCCGTTCACACAATCAGTTCTCGCTCTCCCCGAAAAATCTATCTAAAACCCCTAAAACCTCTTCTCCTCGCAGCCTCAGCAATGGCTTCAATGTCGATGGAAATGGTTACGACCTTTATCGGATTGACCAAGCGACAGACAACCTTATTCCCTGTTTTGAGGAAAGCAGAGGTTCAAGTATCTCGGAGTTTCCGAACCTCCTCAAGTCATCTGAAAATGGTCACTCTTCATTCAAATAAAATGAAGAGATTCTTTCGCAGGTCCACTGTAGCGGCAACAACCATGACAGCACAGGGCGAGACTTCCGATGCTTTGACGAAAATTCCCGCTGATGATCGAATTCCAGCGACCATAATCACTGGGTTTTTGGGCTCTGGAAAGGTACAATCTTTTTAAGAAATGTCTACTTGTCCATATGTATTGAATTATAATTTTCATATTTTGATTGGTTTTTATGGGCTTTGGAAATGTACAATCTTTTTAAGAAACTTACACTTGTTCATATGTATTAAATTGGAATTTTGATCATTTGATTGGCTGGGTTTTTGGGCTCTGGAAAGGTACAATATTTTAAAGAAAATTATACTTGTTCGTATGTATTAAATTAGAATTTTGATGATTTGATTGGCTGGGGTTTTGGGCTTTCGAAAGGTACAATCTTTTGTCTACTCGTTCTTATATATTAAATTAGAATTTTTGATAATTTGATTGTCTGGGTTTGTGGGCTGTGGAAATGTACAATCTTTTTGAGAAAAGTCTACTTGTTCATGTGCATTTAATTAGATTTTTGATAATTTGATCGGCTGGGTTTTGGAGCTCTGGAAAGGTACAATCTTTTTAAGAAATGTCTACTTGTTCATGCGTATTAAATTAGAATTTGATAAATTGAATCGTTGGGTTTTTAGGGCTCTGGAAAGGTACAATTCTTTTTAAGAAAAGTCTACTTTTTCATAAATATTAAATTAGAATGTTGATAATTTGATTAGTTTGAATATATATACGTATGTATGCACACTTTTCTTGTGGACGTGGTTACTTTTGAAGTAATCTGTAGAATGAAAAGGTGGAAAATGGTTTATATATACAATAGATTTCTCCTGTAAATACGAGTGCTTTTATTACTTTCCAGGCAACATTTTCTACACAATCACGAGTCAGCTCCAGTCGAGCCTCTTTGCCGACACTAGCCATAGGTTCTTCCCATTAGTCATGCTTGACCTAACCATTGGCTTTGATACCACATGCTAACAATTTGCTATAGGAGAGTAAACTGAAAATGGCCTTTCTATTTTAAGCGCTAAGGTGCCTTATAGTATAGGTAGGCTAAGGTGCCTTATATGATAGGTAGACTGTTCTTTTTGATATGACACCAACTCAAAAGAAGGTCTATGAAAGCTTCTAAGGAGTCAACCTGTTGGAAAGTCATAAGAAAGGCAATGCAAAAGATGAAATTTGGAGGTCTCTCTAATATATTAGATGTATTATGATTCCTCAAGCAGTGTCATTTCTCCTATCAACACTTTTACTTTTGCATAACAGGGGTGTGGTCTCTCAAGCACCGTTACCCATGAATCCCAAGCAGGGGAATTCGCTATGCCCCAGTATCCAATGAGTTTGGCTTGCCCAACACAATAGCTAGCGTTGGGTGCACCAACGTGCTTGTGATGGACTGGGACAAGTTCATGGCATCTCGGATGGTTTGGTTTAGTCAATACTGTCATTTTTCTAATTTAGGTGATAACTACAGTGCACATGCGGCAAGAATCAGACTAAGGCGGTTTTGTGTAATTCCATTAGTGGCACATGCTGAGTGGTGACAACATTGCCCAGCAGTTACTTTCAAAAAAAGTATAGCCCATCAGTTGGGGATGTCAATTGCATGCTTTGGTGGCAAATGCTGGTTCATCTAATACACCTCAGCAGTTGGGAATGTCAACTGCATGATTGGTTTGTTGCTATTGGTTGGGCCGACACATCTTAAGCAGTCGGGATGTCGACAAAATGTTTGAATCTTCTCTCTAGACTCAGACTAGGCAATTGTGGCCAATTTTGTGTGAGGCCTATAAAACAGGCCTTGCTGGGGCTGTGTCTGCCAGACCATGAGTGTGTCGTGTGCTTGCTTGCAAGCCCTTAGGCGGATTCCTTGGTACTTCTAGTGAGAAAATTTAAAGGTTGAGACCTTTGTCCTCTAAATCTTTTGCCTTGGGCCTTTTGTGTGTGTTGTGTTGGGCATGTTTGCTGAGACTCGGTGAGACCAAGTGCCATTACAAAGGCAAAATTGAGGTGACATATTGACCTCAGTAACAACAAGCCTGGTGCATTAGTGTGGAAGTCGTCTTATTCTTTTTCTTCTCAATGTTATTATTGTTATTATTATTCTCGGAATTATTCCAGTTTTGTTATTTTAGAAGTTTTTTTTTTTTTTTAAATAATAATAATTGGTCAAGTCTCCTCATATGGATTTGAAGCTTATTTAAGCAGATTTTTTATGCAAATATTCAGGAAAACTATTCAACATTCCATATTGAGTTTATAGGGTTGAAAATGGTGTGAAATCGTGCCATTGAATGGCTGAAATCTCACCATAAAATGTCTATTCCTTTATTGAAGCTGATTCAAGTTTTTCTTTTAATTAGTACATTATTCTTCAATTAAACAGAGTTATTTTTCTTACATCTAAGTCCTACATGTGGCTTTTTTTGGATAAGTCCAAGTACTCCATGTAGTTTACTTATACATTGTTTTTATTGTTCTCATATATTTTTTGATCTACAACTCCAAGAATTTCTTGAAATTGAAACCGCAGATCTACTCTATTAGCTATGCTTATAAAAAATACCAAGTTAACTTTCAGAAATCATTCATAAATCTTGAACAAGTGAACACTATTAATACTTATATATGTAATCAGATACACAAATGGTCAATATTTAATTTATTCTCTACTTCACATAATCATGTATCATAAATTGAATTTTTGAGAATTTAATTGTCCTAATCTAATTATGTGTTCAATATTTGAAAGAAGAGTTGTAGCAATTTATAACCAAGGGAGATGATAAACAATGGAAACTTAATAAGTTGATCCTTAGTATAACCATTTAAACAACCATTAGTATTTCAGGCACAACAAAATCCTAATCAAATTCATTTGAGAATTGAGCAATATATTAAAATATAATGATATATATTGAGAATAGATCATCCACTTGCAAAATTTCACCCTAGATTAAGAATAAATATATTTACTCACCTTGAAAAATCTCAAAATTTACCTGCAGGCTTTTCCTCTTTGAGTTTTCCCTTTCCCTTCCCCTCTACTCTTCTCTGCCTCTTCGCTGATACCATAAGACGTCTTGAACCCTAAACATAATATATTTGTTAGGATTTTTAGCTGGAAAAATCTCGATCTCCCTAAACATAATATATTTGTTAGGATTTTTAGCTGGAAAAATCTCGATCTTTATCCCTAATTTAAAATTTAAATTTTCCCTTTTCCATTGTGTGTGTTTTGGTGCATGGTACTATTGTCTGCTCATCAATTAAAATTAGACATACCATTTATTTTTTGGTTCATTACACCCACAGAGCATTCACTTATTTTACTGACCTGTTTTCCTTTTTCATCTTAAACAGACAACTTTGTTGAACCATATCTTGACTGCAGATCATGGGAAACGCATTGCAGTGATTGAGAATGAGGTATGAGGTTGAACTACCTAGTGTTAATTGTTAATATAAATTTCTTCTGTGTTTTAGTGTTATTAGATTGTGCATCCTGGTCAGCAATTTAGTGATAATTTATGTGTAATTTTTTTATAGTTTCTAATTTCTGTGCCGCTGTTAATTGATCATTTCGAGTTATTATCTGGGAACTAATACTCAAATGAGTTGTGATGATCTACAGTGCCTTGTTTGTTTGTTGAATTTGCAGTTTGGTGAAATAGACATTGATGGTTCATTGGTTGCCGCAAAAACTGATGGGGCTGAGGACATTGTAATGCTCAATAATGGGTGTCTCTGTTGCACTGTGAGGGGTGATCTTGTCAGGATGATTTCAGAATTAGTCAATAAGAAGAAAGGGAGATTTGATCATATTGTAATAGAGACTACAGGTAGTAAAATTCAGCCAAGAGGATGTTTACAGTAGGAAATTCATAGAATTTCCTTAGGTTATGTTTAACTTTGTGGATGTCCATGGTCTGTCAGTTTTTTTTTTTTTTTTTTTTAATTTGTTTTTTATTTTATTATTATTATTATTAATTTTCATTGGCAAGAAACACACTCACACACCAACTTTACCCCATTGGGGAGACCATCTATTTGGAAGGTAAGGAAGTACCACTAGGCTACATCCGTTGGTGGTGTCTGTCAGTTTTTCTCTCATATTGAATGTGAAACATTTTTTTACTTGCTAAATGCATTGGACTTTTTCAGGATTGGCAAATCCAGCACCAATCATTCAGACATTTTATGCAGAGGATCAGGTTTTTAATGATGTTAAGCTAGATGGTGTTGTCACTTTAGTTGATGCTAAACATGCTAATTTTCACCTGGATGAGGTGAAGCCAAAAGGAGTCGTCAATGAGGCAGTTGAGCAAATTGCTTATGCTGACCGTATCATAGTAAATAAGGTAGATGTTTTTTTTATTTATATACACACACACACACATGCACATGTTATTTATATACACATACACATATGTTGTACCCTGATCTTCTTTAGAATTTATTTTTGGATAGATAAATCACACACACCCATTGTTGTCCCATTGGGGACTTGAACACTCAATCTTCCTTTTGGAAGGAAGAGGTGATACCACTTGGGCTGAGCTCTCGGAATGTTGTACGCTGGACTTAGTTAAACTTCTTAGATGATCAAGCTGAAACATTGGGATCTGTGACAGACTGAGTTTACATTCTTTTCTGGTTTTAATTCACAGTCCTCTCCTAACTCAAAGCCAGCTAGTGCAGCCACCACACATTTGAGTTGAAACATTAGGATTGTTGGAAGACTGACCCTTTCTGTATCCTTTTCATGGATTATAACTTGGGGCCATTTCCCAGATCATGGTGCTGCTACTAGGCTTACTACATAAAATGTGCTTTCAGCTTTTGAAGTTCCCTTGTCACTAAGTTTAGTAATATGGTTTATGAAGGGGAACTGAAATTCATACTTTGGAAAGAAATTCTCTGGCCTTGCCGCCTTGGTCATCTTAACTAGGGGAGATTTCCTTTTTGTACTGTGCTTTTATAAACTCGTTGGAGCACTGTAGCCCAGAATTTATTTCTATAGAGAAATAAGTTACTGGATAAAGTTACTTTTGATGGGATATTCCAGAACTTATTTTTATAGAAAAATAAGTTGCCGGACAAAGTTTTTACTTTTTATGAAATATTTATTGCTGTTGGACGTCACTGATTTGTTGTTATTTTGGTGCTAGACTGATCTTGTTGGTCAGCCAGAAATTGCTTCTTTAATTCAGCGTATAAAGGTTGGTATCCTTCATATTGCTTATCCACCACACTTATTCAGCTCTTTTATCCTGGTCATTTCAATTTTTTTTTTCCCCCCCCTTAAATATGATGTTACAATTTCTGAATTCAGAACATAAATCGGATGGCCAATCTAAGGCAGACAGAGTTTGGAAAAGTTGACTTGGATTATGTTCTTGGGATTGGAGGCTTCGATTTAGAAAGGTTAGTTTATTCCACTTATATTTGTTGCTAGATATTGTAATTTCATGACAAAAGATAAAAATCGATTTCTTAGGTTGCAGCTGACTCCTGTGTTCTAATTTGCACTCTTCTGTGCTCTTTAAGTTGTTTACTTAACAATTTTTTAACTTATTTTATAAATTATATGTTACCATATCAAGCTTTCTTCCATATATGTTAAAATTTTGTTGTTTGAAATTCAATTTAGTTATCCTTCAACTTGCACTTTAATTTAGGTAATATCTATTCCATTGGTTGCATGGTCATGTATTTGACATAGTTAATTCTTTGTTGCTTTCTGTTTCTTCGAATTCTTTTAATATCTGTTCTATTCCATGGGTTGCTTTCTGTATCGACATGCTGGAATACTTTGTAGTTTTAGGGTATTTCAGTTCTTGTCTCCGTCTCCCTTTTAAGCTCATATACTCAATTTTAGGGATTTATGCTCACTTTTATTTGACCCTTGCCAGGATTGAGAGTGCTGTGAATGCTGAAGGTTCAGAGAAAGATCATGCTAGTCATGAGCACGATCATGATCACCACCATCATCATGAGCATAAACACGGTAAGCCATTTGATCTTTTAAAATATTTGTCATAAATCAATTATTTTCTTTGCATCCCCTAAAATTAACTTGACACGTGTATTGAATATAAAATTTGTTGGAAAAAGTTGCACCAACCTCACCTAAGGTTTTCATCTTGAGCACATGGCTAGAACTATGTGCAAAAAATAGGTCAACCTCCCATAAGATTTCGTTGACTTTTAATTTTCTAAATGGACCGTTAGCGCCGTTTAAAGTTATGCATGATATGAAAATTTTTTTACCCCTTGTATTAATGAAAAGGCAAAATTGACCTTATTTAAGTATATGGAGCTACAACTTTACCTATTTACCTAGATTTTAAAAGAATAAGATACGCTTGACATATTTATTATACATATTGAAAAAGAAAAAGCACCCATTTACTTTTAATAACACCATTTGCACCTTGTATATTTTGCAATGCAAATTTCAAAAAGAATTGCAAGACTTGAAAAAAAAAAAAAAAAAAAAATGCAAATTTTGAAGAAAATATTGAAAATTTTGCCAAAAAATTGTTATTGCAAAGATTGTAAATTGCTTTTCACAAATTTGGCAAGCTTGCAAAAATGAAAAATCTCTCTCTCATGGATTAATTTGAAGCCTAATTTATACTGGTAAATATTAAAAATTTGATTAGATACATATTATATACAAAAGTGTAATGGTTCTAATTGGTGTCTTCAATACTGATGCAGAACATCATGATCACCATTCGCATGATCATACTCATGATCCTGGTGTTTCTTCCGTCAGTATAGTTTGTGAAGGGAGCTTGGATCTTGAGAAGGTTGGTTTTAAGATTTTTGCACAGTTTCTTTGGCAATTTTTATTGCAATTATGTTTAAGACTGGGGGAGGTTCATTCCTAGTTTCAGATAAGGAAGTTAAGCTGTTAATTTATATTTGAAAAGCTGACAATAATGAACTGACAAGCTCTCCTGTTCCAATCCTCAGGCTAATATGTGGCTGGGTAATTTGTTGTTGGATAGGAGCGATGACATATATCGGATGAAAGGTCTCTTATCTGTTGAGGGTATGAATGAGAGATTTGTTTTTCAGGTGATTAGACCCTCTCCAAAGTGCCAGTGTCTTCTTCTGATTTATTTTGTCAATATTCTTTTTATTGAAACTTTAAATCAATTTATAATCTATTTTGTGGCAAAATATTTTGAACCTCGGCCTGATAAGTTTCTGTGGGCGACTACATTTCTATTGTTGTATGAATTCATATTATACATCTTTGAAGAGGTTTGAGCCATTTGATTTCTACTTCTTTTACTGGTTGGATATCATTTTATTATTAAATAGATCTTTGTTGCCAATAAAATTGTTTCAGATGACTTTACTCATTTTATCCAGAGTGAGTGCCATATATAAGCTATAACTTCTTTAGATGATCCTCTTGATGTATTTTTAACAAATTTAACCCAAAATCTCTGCTTTGTTTTTTGTGTTATTTTTCTCTTGATATTGGCTTGTTCATTCAATACCACTTTGGAATCACTCTCTCACCCTCTCTTTCTATGTATCAAGATATCAAACTTGGTCGAAATCTTGATGTTTGTCAATACTGACATATGTCCTCCCCAGTTTCAGCTGTCTGGTAGAATTGTGCTACCGAACAAATTGGATGCTCTTATATGCCAGACGGGAGCCTGTATTAAATAAATTATGACCTTGTTTTTATTTGTGTTTTGGCATGCCAAATTTCTTACCTATTGATGCTGTTTCTGGGGAATAGGAGTTCCTTTTAATACTTAAACATGATGCTATAGCCCATAGATGGTTAATGATCTGTTTTCCTACCCGTGGTGTGTCTGTGTAACAGGGAGTTCATGATATATTCCAAGGTTCACCGGATCGGTTGTGGCGTCCAGATGAACCAAGAATAAACAAGATTGTGTTCATTGGGAAAAACTTAGACGGACAGGAATTAGAGAAAGGTTTCAAGTCTTGTTTACTGTAATACTAGTATCTAATTAAACATTTGGGATTGTGATTTTTTTCTGGTTTGACATATTGTACTCTGTCATAAGTGGATATGTACTGGGACTCGGGGATAAATTGTTGCTGTCAATAAGAACCTCAAGTTTCCTGGATTTTTTGAAGAATGATGAATATAATATATGGCAGTAAGCCTTTGTGTTTGGTTATTTGTTTTGGTATACTAATCTGTTTGCATAGTGGATTTATTTAGTCAGTTTCTATATAATGCCAGATTGCCAGGACAGGAATTTTTTTGCCAATGTATATATATATACAAGGCAAGTGAAATAAACAGCTTAGTTATGTCGAGCCTACAATTTTTTTTTAAAAAAGGAAATGTTACAAAGCCGATGTGGGTGTGTGAGATTCTTGTTAGAAAAAAAGAAAAAGTAGATTTGGGTGACCTAACTTAAACAAAATTGTTCTAAATTGCTTTAGAGTGACTTTAAAGTAAAAAAAAAAAGATGAATAGTTGTTGAAACTTAATTGCTAGTAAGTATAATATGGTCAAAAACACAGGGTTTGATAAGTATTCTAAAAATAAATTTTAGATGACAAAATTGCCATCCAATACAAAGAATAACTCCATAGATTCATCATACTTATCTCTAGGGGTGCACACGGTTCCTAGCGGAACCGGAACTGGTCCCAACGGTTCTTAGAAAATGGAACCTGAACCGTTGGAACATGAAACCTGAACCGTTGGGACATGGAACTGGAACTAAATTTGAATCAGTTCCACGGTTCGATTTCGGTTCAGTTCTGATTAAAAAAAAAAATTTAATAACTCTAAACCTATTCGTAGTACATTTTGATATATAATATTATACATGACAACATATTTTTATTATATATATCTCTTTATATGCATTAATAGACACACACACACACACATATATATATATATTAGTAATTATATAACCAAACCGTTAGGAACCGCGGTTCTTTATGCACCCCTACTCATCTTTCTCTCATTCAATGTTTTCTTTCTTCCTTAGTAATTTGCAATTTACCAATTTTAAAAATTAGGGTTTCTTTATCACCCTTATTTCCAAATTCCAAGGCTCTCTACCATCGCTGCAAAACATGGATATTTATAGTGGCAAATCAAGAATAATATTTAAGGATAATTTGGACGTTCAATCCCAAAATACTCTTTATATAATATTTAGAGAAAATTCCAAAATCTAATTTTCCCAAAAAAAAAAACCTTGCATTTCAACCATGGAACCACCCCAGTTGTGTTCTTAATTGACATTCTTCTTTGACCTCAAAGCATCTGATTAGAAGGAACTTACATACTTTTTTTCTTTTTCTTTTCTTTTCTTTTTTTTCTTTTTGAAAAAAAGTTAAGTAACCTATATATTTTTGCCTATTCAAGTAATCTATATATATTTTTGTCACCAACAGAACTCGAACACTCAACTTCGAGAACTCGAACACTGAACCTCTTTAAAGACAAATTTTTTTTTTTTATTCCGATAAAAACTCAGACACAACCTCTCCAAAGAAAGGTTACCATCTAATCAAAGTCTGGTTTTGGAATAAGATGAGGAGGCATATTCCAATTTAGTTCCAACAATTCCAAAGGTATTAGCAAGAAGCCAACTCCGTAATGTATGTTCAATAATGTCTGCTACCAATCGTATCCCTACCTAATCCTTAATTATACACAACCCTTCCACCTTTAGTGACAGCAATGGGACCCACAAGCAGCCACTAATCATACCATAATCAATTAACCTTCCCATTTTCAATAATATATTCACCAGATATTGACTTTACATGTATGGTTCAATTCATTGCAGATTCGGTGCAATTTCGCAGCTAAATGCACACGCATGGATTTGTAAGGATGCCAACAACTATGTGGAAGTGTGCTATTTCACATTAGGCTCATGTATGAAAATTCCGATCATTAAAGACCAATTAGGGTCATTTAAGCTCGATAGCTGGTATTCTTGAATTGTAATTTTGAGTTCTCTAAAATAATTTTTTTATTTTTTATTTTTTAAAAATAAAAAATAAAAAATGCTCTGGTTTTAAATTTCATAACGTGGAATCAAACTTTCATTACACCTGACTCTCATCATTTTCTATCCAACGAGCCAATGAAGAAAATTGGAGGGCTTGATAGGCATGTTATGGGTCATATGTTGATTTTATGAATTGATCTCTATTACATCCTGTTGATAGATTTTGGTGTAACACATTAGAGCAAATCTATCATGAGGTGCACCTTATTGAAATTGTAATGAGCTTTATTTTAATTAACAAACGCGAGTATCACGTACTAATCACATTGTCATTGTTTCTCTCATAACAGAGCTAGTCAAATGTGACTGATTCAATTAGATCAAAATGAGTGAAAAGAAAGGGAAAATGTGAAAGTTTAACTGAAGTGTGTCCCATGCTATTTTCTTTCAACCATTGGGCTCTTCTCCCAAAATTTATAAAGTAAAAAAAAAACTCATGAATTCTTATAATGAGGTTCACCTGATTATAACTTTATTACTGTCTTGACAAATTATAGGACTGGAATAATTGAGTGCAGGGACCAGCTGATTCCAAATCATTAACCATGTGAAAGTCCACAAACTGTGTGTGGACCACAATGCAGTTACATAACTTACATTGTAGCAGTGTTTATAGTGTTTAGGGACCATAATTAATTAATAAGATCAAATGGACTAATCACTAAAGTAGCCACAAACTGCACAACTTTAGAGAATCAAAGTGTGTGTACGTATATGTGTGTATATATCCTGACAGAGGTACAACTTTTTTGTATTAATATATATAGTACATAATATACTTACACCGTTATGTTGGAATTCTATCCCACGCTTCCTTACATTCACATACACATTTATAGTCAGCCAAACCTCCCTTCCCTCCAAAGAAACCATTTATATATATATATTCACATAACCTAAAAAAGAAAGAAAAACAAAGATTTGCAATAAAATATTTTCTGAAAAATACTTTTTGTGTTTTTTGGTGTTTGGTTGTAGTATATTAACAAAGAAAAAAATATTAAAACATAACAAAAATAACTTATTCATCAAATTTTCGGTAAGCTATTTTACACGAAAAATAAAAATATAAAAAAATATTTTTTGAAAAAAATATTTTAAGTTGGAGCCTTAATTCATGGAGCTGAAAATGATTTCCTTTTTTGATTCATGTAGTAAGAAAACCTTAATTCATGGAACTGAAAATGATTTCCTTTTTTGATTCATGTAGTAAGAAAACACTATATTAAAATATTCATATATACATTTTTGGTAAAATATATATATATATACATTTTATCTTAATTAATTCCATTTTATACATCATGTCGTATTAATTGATTATAAGCAGGAATACAACTCGTTCGGAGGGTGGCTCTCATTGGGATTATTTTCCTCTGGACAAAAGTACCCTTCACCAACTAATTTAAATGGGTAGGTCCTTTTTGTTTTAATTTTCAGTCCTCATCGCAATCAATGAAAACCGACAGCTAAGTAATCACAATATGTAATTGTGCCATAAATAAACTATTTCTGTATTCATTGTGCCTAAAAAATCCCCAAAATCCATACGTGACATTAATCAATTCAATACGTGACATTAAATTATAGTTTGATTGAAAGTTCGAACGAATTAATTCAAATTTTAAATGAGAATCACTTTCAATTTAGGAGGAGTTAATAATGCCAGTAAAATATGCACAAAAAATTTGAAAGCAAGAAAATTAGGCGTTTCGGTATAGTTATCGTTTATATTTTAGATTTTTTAATAGTTTCATAACTTTATATGAATTTTGTTAGAGTCAGGTTAGATTCCAGTTGTTTTAATCCTCTCGTGACCAATTTAATTTCACGATGTGGAAATTATTAATAATTTTTCATGGCTTTTAGATCAAGTTTTATATTCACTATTAAAAAGTTATAATTCTCGTGCTTACGGGCAACTTTTCTCACGAATTACAATTGGTTCTCTCTCTTAAAACCTAGCAAAAAATGAGTGTAAAAACTAGCTAAAAAAGGTTGGAATATGAGTGAGGAATAAAAGAACAGAAATAAAAGCAGATTCCTCGACGTCATTATTCTGTATAATTTTGGTACACATGAAAAGATAAAAATATGCTAATTAAAGATAAAAAGTTATTACCTACCTAATTCTGTTATTGTCTTTATGATTCAACTCATAAAGTTTTGACATTATTTTAATATATTTATATATATATTTTTTTTTATTTTTGACACACATTATTTTAATATTTGAGCATTCAATTTCACACTTGTTATAATGAGGGCGTTGTGAATATATATATATATACACACCCACACACATATAATGAGGGCGTTAAAACAATGAATCTCCTAAAGTTGTTATCAATAAAGATATAATAGTACTTCTGCTTCTCAACCAAACCATCTAAATGCGTTCAGCTGCTCCTTTTGCTGCCACAAAAGGGAGAGGCAAGAATTGGAAAAAACACAAAGTTTATGCGTATAATTCAAATAAGCAAAGTTAAATGGAGTAAAGATACAATGACAATGTATATATAATAACGACCGGTATCTCAATTATTACATAGTCCAATTCAATTATAATTGGACACAGAAAAGAAAAATTAATTATGTGTATTTATTTATTTATGACCCCTTCAAGAACTTAAAATTTGGATTTTCTATTTTGAAAGATAAGGAAATATCATTAGACTATAAAATCTTTGATATACATTTACTTATAAATCGAGTTATAATTAGTTGGGATTGTATAATTCCGAACCATATAATAGTTTATTATTATAGCAAAGAATTAGGATCTCTCAAAGTGAAACTATCCAATATACTAAAGAGAGCGGAAATAACTCTTGAGATTGAGTGAACCTTAAATGTGTGAAAATCTTATTTTATGAACGTGATCTTCATATTTTATTGTGCACTAACTCTACACATGAGAGAATCTGAGTTTTATATTAACTATTAAGACATGACACACAAAATATTACTCCACAGTAGGTTGCACATTGCATTTTTTTTCTTTCAAGATTTCAATTTCATTATATTAAAAATGCAACACATTAATCCGCATTAATGGTTTAGTAAACAAGCAATCTCTCGGGATGAATCTGGTTAATTTGATTTTAATAAGATTAAAAATAATTGAAATTAAGTTAATAATTGAAATTAAGTGATTAACTAATCTGCTAGTAATTGTATATTAAGTCACACCAAGTGAAAACGAGAACAAATTCAAAAACGAAAATACAAAAATTACAAAATTAGGTCACAAATAATAAAAATGAGAGCAAAAGCCTGCAAAGTGTAAGGAAGGAGACTTCTCTTCCACACTGCAAAAGCGACTTACATTGCACATTTTTCAGAGATTTATTTCTGGTTTTTTAATTTAAAAAAAAAAAAAAGACAAAAATGAAAATAAAAATTAATTGAACATTCAATGTCAGAGTCTTCGCGTAGGAGATGATGGTGACTGATATAATAATAGTAATAAGCAAAGTGCAAGGAAGGAGACTTCTCTTACACACTGCAAATCTGTTTGAGCGACATTCGCCAGCTGCTTCTCTCTCCATCTCTCAAATGTCTGCATCCCCAAAAAGCGTTACGTTTCGCATCACTTCAGTTTAACTTTTTCATCTCCCACTTTACTTTACTACTACCGGATAACTTTTTTTATTTTTTCTTTCAGTGAGAGTGACGGAGGTTGCTTTGATTGGGGGTATCTTGTTGGAGGAACATTTGAAAACAAAAAGTTAGAGAGAGAGAAGAGAGAGAGAGAGGAGGTCGAAACCTATGGCTTTGTCCTCTGCGTTTCGTTTTGGGAAGGATTTTGATCGGTAATGTTAATCATCCATAAATCGAAGCTTCTAGAGGAAGAAAAGAGAGAGAGTGGGTAGGGAAAGAACAAAAAAGGATAGAGGGAGAGAGGGCGGATAGAGGGAGAGAGGGCGAGTCACGTTTTAGGGGATGGCTCTTTGCCCTATGTTTTGTTGCAGAGGGGGTTGGAATCGGTAAGCTTATTTATCATTCAATTAATCTGTTCATATCATTTACTTGAATAGTGTAATTGAACTGTGATTTATTGTTCTGGTATGTTTGTTTTGGTGTCAATGAAGATCAAAGAGGGTTTTTTCGGCGCTTGATATAACTTTTAAGAGAAAGCATGTGTTTTTTGGTTAGAGACGATGATTTACGCTGTTTGGTTGCTGAGAAATTAGTGAATTAGAAAATGTATAGAAAATTTGAGTTATATGTATTTGAATTTTCAATGTTCTATTGATTAGTTTAACACAAATTGCCTATTTGACCAGAGCAACTGGAATTGAATTGTACTACCAAATTTTCCCTCATGTGTAAAATGTTCAATTGTACAGGAAACAACAGGGGAAGAAGCAGTCGACATGGAGGGTTTTTTCTTTAAAGGAATTGCATGCGGCAACAAACAATTTTAATTATGACAACAAGCTTGGAGAAGGTGGATTTGGCAGCGTCTACTGGGGTCAGCTATGGGACGGATCTCAAGTAATAAACCAAACTTTTGTATCTGTTTATTTTGTTTAACATTTTTTTGCTGATATATTTATCATTTGCGACCATATATTGTTGAATTATCAAGCAATATAGCTGCTATTGGGAAACAATTACTAATTTATTTGATAGTTCATTCTACAATTATTTGAGTTGTACAAAAGTATTTTAATTTGTGAATATTCCCAATTTGCATTGTAGATTTATTGACTACACGTGCTTTCTTTCTTGACTTCTGAACAAGACACAAAAATTTAAAATTGTTTAATGGTTTAATAATTTCTTACATGCATTTGCTAGTGTGAATTGGCAACTTCAGCATAACTTATTTGGATTTAATGTTTAATGAATATTAGATAATGAGGCAGAAAGATTCTGTTCACCTGTATAAACTGACTGTCCAAGAGCCTCATGTCAACTAGTGGCCCTTCTGATATATCCTCAGATACTCTGTTTCCTGTGAGAGGAAGTGGTTGGAAAGCCGTTCTTGTGTCTACATGTGCCTTTTCAAACAAAACTTGGGGGCCTAAAGTTTTTGGTTTACACAAGAGTACTAATTCAATGTATAGTAGTTTTAGAATACCATGGATAGGCATTTTGCGTATTGAAGAGCAAATTCACTTGCATTCAATATCTCTAGGTATGCAAATTATTGTAGAATGAAGAGATGTGTTGAGTTGGTATGCTTATGGCCTTAATATGGTAGACCTATAAAACAGTCTAGATCTGATTGGGAGTTGATTTTCTGGGCTGTGACTTTTGGAGGGTGGCGCCGTTTTTTTATATGGTGGTGCTTGTGGAGGGAGCGGAATGGAAGATCCTTTGATGGTGAGGAATCTTCTATTGGGTCTCTTAAACTCTCTATTATTAGCTCTCTTTTTTATTGGGTTAATGGGAGAAACTGTGCATCTTTAGAGGAGTTTGTTGATTTTTTGGGTTCTTAGGGCCTTTTTGTTGGCCCTCGTGTAGCTTATCTTGGGATGCATTCCCTGTTTGAACGCTTTGTTATACAATTTTTCTTATAAAAAAATATATATATAGTTTATTAGTCAGCATGAATTGTATATCATCATGTCCTGGTTACATATGTCGGGTGCAGGTATATGTTAAATCCCCCGGGATTTATCATATCCTCAAACCCAAGAGACAGGACATGGACACTTTATTCATTTTTAAATCAATAATATAATAAAAGAAGTATATTTATTAAATTGCTTACTAGGGGCATGTTCAACAAGAGAAATCTGATATCCATACCTAGGTGTATTAGGGGAATTAGTTTATTTTTTGGGTTCTTAGGGACTTTTGTTGGCCCTTGTGTAGCTCTAAATCAACAAACTAGGTGGTATTCTCACAAAATAAATTTTATATTAAAATTTTCACTGAACATGTAATGACCTTTCTTAAAAGGCCAATAAACCCCGCTAAACAGCAAGTGGTTGGACATGTAATGAAGTGTTGACATATTTTGTGAGCAAAATGTTGAATTAGGTCGTTAAGGATGAGTCACTTCCTTGGTTCAACATTGAAGATGCGATTGAAGATTGAAAAGCAAGCAAAATTGTCTTAATATGAGTCATTAAGTTTCTTTGATCACACACTTTAGCTAATGATAGGTGACTTGGACGGATTAGGTGGGATAATCATTATATAAGTTTGGTCCGTAATTTATTTAAATGTTTAATGAACTTATTTGGAAAATAATTAGGAAGTTTGACATGAAAAATATATCTGGACTATAGAGATATATTCCTTGTGTTTTAATTGAGAGTCCTAAGGTAAAACAGCCTTTTTCAGTGGTTGGAGGCTTGATGGGCCTGTAGGATGTAGAAAAAAACCTATCATGTAATTCACCAACTTATTTGGTGGTTCAGGGGCAGAACTCCCAAGGTGAAACTTTTTGGGCATTTTCAAAGGCAAAAACACTTTGAATGATTGATTTAAGGTTGTGGACCTGTTAGAAGTCAATAATTACGCTAAGTAAATTGTCAATTGATCTTGATGTATCCAGTAGCTACCAGGTTGTGATATGGGTCTTGGGATTCAATAGAACAACATTGGATTGCGATGACACCATATTTTGTGTGTGTGATTGTTGTCCAAATAGTTACATGTATTGAAGATGTGCAAACTGCATCATCATCTTATTGAAGATTACTCGGGGTGGAATCTTTGCTCGTAGATACAAGTGAGACTTGCAATTTCAAATGGTACAAGGAGTAAAACTGTACATCCCTGTTAGACTAACGGCTGGTTACTTTTGGTGTGAATCTATAACTGGCAGTAATGCTTGTTCTTGTCATAGTGGATTTTGCTGAGTTGTGGGCGAGGTCTCCTGATTTATCCTGTGGGATTTTTCACGTAAAATCTGGTGTGGTTGCGTACTGGATTAATTGCTTATTATTTGATTCAATGGTTGTCTAAGATTGATTGTAGTCAATTGAATTTAAAATTGGGACATAATCAATTAATTGAAATTCATCATTAATCATTACCAATGGAATATTTGTGTGATTTCATAGCACCTATTAGGACCCTTTCCTCTACTGCTAGCACTCATTACATTCAGGGGCGGAGCCAGGAATTTGGTTCAGGGGGGGCATGTTAGCACTGACAAAATAAATTTTTTTCAAACATGCCTAAAATATAATAGTGTAACAACAATGGAAGAAAAAATAAATAAGAAGAGAAAAAAAGAAAAAGAAGGTTAATTGCATATAAATTATGCATGAGTGGAAGAAAAAATAAATTTTTAAGAAGAAAAAGGAATTTTTTAAGAAGAAAATGAAATAAAAAATATATATATATATGAGATAATTTTAAAGGAAAAAATAGACTTTAATTGTAGAAAGAGAATATCAAAATTTTTGAAGACGACAAAAAGAAATTTGAAGAATAATAAGGAAAAAGAATAAAGAATTAAAGACATTTTTAGAAATAGATAATTTTATGGGGGATAATTTTATAAATTTTATGGGGGTGTTTTATAAATATTTATAAATTATATGCATAAAATAAAATAAAATTTAATGGATTCAGAGGCAAAGGGGTCATTTTATTAATTTTAGGGGGACATTTTATCATTTTTTACAAATTTATGTATAAAAAAATAAAAAATTCTATTAGGGCAGCATGGGCAGGGGGGGCAGCTGCCCCCCCCTGGGCACATGCTGCCTCCGCCCTTGATTACATTGCATCGAAACATTATTCAAGGAAAAGAATGCACACCAAGCTATCTATGTTACGTGGACTCTGGTACGGGTGTCGGACACGGGTATGTATCCATGTGTCGGACATATCAAATAAATCTCCAAATAGAAGGACACACAGACACAACTAAATATTCATTTTATTAATTATTTTATTTTATTTTCTAGAGTAAAGTAATGTTTTTATCTAATATAATATTCAATATAGGCATTGAACTCATTTTAAAGTAATAATATAATGTAATTGAATGATTGAATATGTTTTTTAAGTACATGTCTAACCAAAAGTGTCGGACACATATCCCATACCTATGTCCAAGGGATATGTGTCTGACATGGGTACTTCACTACTTTTGAAGAGTCCATGTAACAAAGCAAGCCATGTGGCCGGATGATAAGGTGGGACTAAGATCAAGTTACTTGCGTGTGGCTAAACTTGTTGGAGCATTGATAAACACTTTATATTTAAATGAAGTGCATGTACTGGTTGCGTCATATAAAAGGTATGAATTATCAGTATGAATATTTAATCTGACAACATTTAAGTGTTACACTAGCCTTCATCCCATCATTGTTACAGTGTAAAAATTTAACAATTTTTAGTGATTACTGTACTTTTTGGTTGAAAGCCAATTACAGATAATTTAAGATATCGTAACTAGAAACAAGATTTACGATATTTGGTATGCAATTCCAATAAAAATGGATCTATGGATTGTTTATACGACTATAGTAATAATTATTGTAGAATAAAACAAATCCCTCTGACATAAAATTATTTTCTTCAATTTCAGTGCAGATCATAAATACACACAGACACACACATTCCCAAGAAAAATAAAAATAAAAATAATAATAAGACAGAATACTTTTATGCTGCATTTGGAAGCATGGAATCCACTCTTTGAAATTGTAAATGGAATAAAATTAGTTTAAAATTTGAAGTAACATAATCTACAATTCCAAGGCATGGATTCTATGCTGCCAAACACAGCATTAACAAGTTCATTCATAGAGTTTTTAGCTTTTTTGACTGTTAAAACTTAAAATGACTTGAATTGTCCAATTCTTTTAAAAGTTGCGAAGTATACCTCCTAACCAAACTACTAAAGGACAAGCTTAGGATTCATAAAAACATTTAAGCAGCTAGAATATCTCACATTTGGTTTCATACTCGTTACAATCCCTTATAAGAAATTCAGGCTTAAATTTCAAAACTAATAGGCCTTTTGCATACTTCTGGACTTCCATTTGAGCAGCATCTATATAATTACGAATAATTTATTTATTAATTTATTTAAAAAAAGAAGTAAAGTTCCAAGAATATATATCCCCGACGCCAATATGAGGATATTGTAAGGAATATTCTGATGTCAAGAATATGTGTGGGAGTGGGGAAGATTGAATGTTAAAAGAAAAATGTAAGACTTGATCTAACTTAGAAAACATTCCATAGCGGCCTTCTAAAATGCACTTTTTCTTAACTTCTCATATATGAAATGGTCATAAGCAGAACTTCACATATAGCTGTTAAGCCTCGGGAGAGATGAAATTTGAGACTTTAATTTCTGAGCCATCATGCTGGCCAACTCACCTAACTAGATGGTGACTGTATGCATCTGTAAGTATTAGTTTCAGTTCATAATGGAAAAGGATAAAACATATAGAGGTTTAAATAGTTCCTTTCACGTGATGTGACTTGGCAGTGCTGGCCTGCCACTTCATTTCTTCTCTTTTCTCTTTTCCTTTTTTCCCTTTTTTTCTTTTTTAAATGCAAACGTGAAGCTCTGTTAATTGGTTTATGAGCCTAGCTAGTGTGATGTGATGAGACTTTGACTCACCCAATGTCTTTTTTTATACTATGTTTTGTTTTCCGTCAAGATCTGCAATCTGTCCCTGTTAAGCTTCTTTCGTGCATCTAGTAAGAGGTGGCTTATTATTCCCACATTGCTAGGATAATGTAGGCATGCCCTACATTTTGGTTTACCTTTTATGGGTGGTTTACAATTTCTTACGTGTGTGTAACAAAATCATTGAGGCATTGCACTTCTGAAAATGATGGTTCTGACTAGCATCCTTTTGGCTGAGATTGTTTCTGAAGTACCCTTTGAATGAGCCATGCAGTCTTTCAAACATATAGTGCTCTTATTGCAAAGTGAGTGTTCTTTACTGGCCTACAGTAGTTTTTTTATATAGATTCAAATATAGACTATGATGTGTTCTGTGTTCATTCACTAAAATATCCAACTACATAACAATGAACTCTTAACATCATTCAGACCTTCTAGCACACGTCAAAAGATTTAATGCCATCATTTTCTGCTTTTCTCACTTAGCATTCCCCCACCATTTTTTTTTTTTTTTTTTTGTAAGTACTTCATTTTCACCATCCCTTTCTCCTTTCGCCTTTCTCCTTCCTCTTCTTATTCTTTTAATTTTTGTTTTTTCTAGTTTCAATATTCTTGCACACTCTCTTCCTTTGTTGGCTTCTCTTTTCCAATTATGTTTTAAAATAATTTATTTTTATGGCTTCATTGTTTTGCCAGTTATTCCGAGTCCTTGTGTGGCTCACACTCAAGGCTGATACAAAAAAACTCTCAAGATCTTTAATATTTAATGAAGTAGGTTTCTAAAGGTTGACCCTGAAATAATTTGGGTTTATCAATACTTTGGTTTCCTTTCCAATCATGATACTTTGCAAAATATGTTAGTCAAGCTGGGCATGATCTCTTAACGCTTTGCATTCTACTGATCCGGAGGTTCCTCAAATCCACTTTCTTCCTCATACTTCGAGAAGTAAGCTTCCTTATTTAGATTTAGATCTTTTTACTACTAAGCAATGAACACCAGCCAAAACTCTATTAAGGAAAGACTTAAAGGGTGCAACTTAATCAACACTCCAACAATGTAGGCGAAGAGAGGAGATGTCTCAGCCCATTCCCAATTGTTACAAATTTCCAATCCCATTTTACTTCCAACTTGTTGAGGATTTAGTAACATTGTGTAATAGAGCTGATAATTTTCGATGCTACATCATGAACAGTATCTACTGTGATTAATTGAATATAGTTACAATTTGATTACGAAAATTGACAAGTACAATCAAATCCATCAAGCCGAAAAAAATTAATTTAAAAAAATAAAATAAAACCAATAACAGGAACAGTCAGTATGATCATGCATGTAAAAAGGAAGAAAATTTGATTCAGTAGGCATGTATTTTCATGTGATGATCTCAGTGACACTTACAGACTCCAACATATTCTCATTTAACACAAACATGAATTTGCTTGAATTTTCATTAAGTGATTTCAGAAGTCTCACAGATGCTACCTTTTGGCTGATGTTTCTTGAGCCAAGGATTAAACCTCTTTTCTGAATGAATAATATATTACCCAAAAAGTTGTATGAAGTAAATAACAGCTGCATTTTAGTGTATTAAATTGATCAATTAGGCTTTTGAGTTTGCTACTATATGGATAGCCTCTTGTTGACCGATGGACAGATTCAGCAGGCTAAATCAAATGATATTAGAATCTGCCCTGCTTATGCCTGGGGCCCTTGGCACTTTGATCACAGCAGAGCCTTGATCCCTTCACCTAATGTTGTGTTGACTTGCTAATTATTTCATGTTAGAGAGTACTGCCATTGTGGAAATAATTAATATTCCCACAAAATTTAAGATAGAGTTGATAGTGCACCTGTTTCATTAGTTGTTTTTTGAGCTATTCTTTAACCAAACGCAATGAAGAAATCATCATCATCCTTGCCTTAATCCCATATGAATGTGGTCGGCCACATGAATTCTTTTTTCCACCTTTTCCTATTACAAGCCATTAAAATGCAATGAAAAATGATTTTAAAATGGAAACTAAGATGATTTTAATTGCCTGCTTGGGGCACCTAACCTTGGAACTGTATTTGACAATTCTTTTGATTTCTTAGGGTCACATGCTTTACTTTATGATTCTGAATCTTTCCCCTGAATTACTAAGTGTAATTTTACCCAGAACAATGCTTAACCTGATGGAGTTTATTCCAAAAAATTGTGCTTTGTCCAGAATCAATTGCATAACCAAGAGACTGTATTACTGGGGGCTGTCTTATAAGAAAATAATAAACCAAGGGGGTTTTGTAGCTTGGGCATCTAAAATCATCATATTACCTGATTTAAATGCTCTGAGGTGGATCCTCTATTGAAAAGCAGATGTATATGGTATTTCATGCAATTACTTAAAGGTAATGGCCCTGCAACTTGTAGACTGCTTTAGTGACTGCTCAAGGGAGTTGGTTATGTTGCTCTAGAGGCTATATAAGGCAATTATTTTTCAAATACAATCTTAAAGTGCTTCCCTAGATTACTGAAGCCTAAGATGCTAACGCCATAGTTGTTAAAGATGTATCTAGGCTCCAAAAAGTCCTAGGCTTGTCAAGGCTCAAGCGGAGGCCCTCAACCTAGCACATTTCTGACCCCTAACTCTTAGACTTGCGCTTTTTAAAGGCTCCATGCTTAAAAATATATAAATATTTAAATAAATAAATAATGCTCCTCCTTTATTAATTATTTATTCATATAGTATATTTGGCGGAATTGTGAGCTTCTGTTGACTACTTATATTAATTGTGTTTAGTGCTTGATATTATGAATTTTTATGATAGTATAACATATGTTTAAAATATTGCCTTTATTATTGCACATTTTTAATGGTATGTGATTTAGTTAACCCGTATGCGTATCAAAAGGATTTATGCACATTTATTTACGTGATCCTCTTAGTTGATATGTCAAAACTTTAGTTTTGTAAAGAAGTTTAGATTAGTTGTGTAGCGTTATGAATTGTTCCGACTGTACATTATTTGATTGAATTCATATGCAAACTGAAAGGATGTATGTATATTGATTTAACTTATCCATTGAATTGATATGGTGAATTTTTTATTTTATTTTTGGTTGATCATGACTAGTTTGTGTTGCATATTTTGAACCTTTTTTTTTTTTTTCTTCCCGTACTTGTATTTAATATTCATTTTTATCATACACCACCTTACTTCAATCAAGCTATTACCCTACATTGCGGGTTGTGCTTAGGCTCTAGGAAATCTAGGAAACCGTGCTGCCTTGGTGCGCCTTGAACCTTTAGGAATATCCCTAGCACAATAACTGACTTCTTTGATTTTTAACAAAGCTCCATACATTTCCTAGCATAACATTTTTTTCTTACATCCATGTCTGTGAATGGATATTCTTGCAGTAGTTTGTTTCTGTTCGTTGGTGGTATAAACACCTGAGGGATTTTTACCGCATTACTCAACTCTTGGCTTTTATATAAATTGTGAAATTATTGACAGAAAATCTGCAGATTGCAGTTAAGAGGTTGAAGGTTTGGAGCAACAAAGCAGAGATGGAATTTGCTGTTGAGGTTGAGATATTGGCACGCGTACGGCACAAGAATCTGCTTAGCTTACGTGGCTATTGTGCTGAAGGGCAAGAGCGTCTAATTGTTTATGATTATATGCCTAATCTGAGCTTGCTCTCTCATCTTCATGGACAGCACTCAGCAGAATGCCTTCTTGATTGGAAACGACGGATGGATATTGCACTTGGGTCTGCTGAGGGAATTGCGTGAGTGTTGAACCCAAATTCCTTTAATAAAACTCCATCTTTCAATTATATAATAACCATTAATTTATTTTGAACAGCTATCTTCACCACCATGCAACTCCACACATAATCCACAGAGACATTAAAGCAAGCAATGTATTACTAGATTCAAAGTTCCAAGCTATGGTTGCTGATTTTGGATTTGCAAAGCTAATACCTGATGGTGCAACACACGTGACCACCAGAGTCAAGGGTACTCTTGGCTACCTTGCCCCAGAATATGCAATGTTAGGAAAGGCATCAGAGAGCTGCGATGTCTACAGTTTTGGCATTCTCTTACTAGAGCTTGCTAGTGGCAAGAAACCCCTTGAGAAGCTTAGTGCGACGATGAAACGCACAATCACTGACTGGGCTCTGCCATTGGCGTGCGAAAAGAAGTTTAGTGAACTTGCAGACCCGAGGCTTAATGGGAAGTATGTGGAGGAAGAGTTGAAAAGAATTGTACTTGTTGCCCTCATCTGTGCCCATAGTCTACCTGAGAAGAGACCTACAATGCTCGAGGTGGTGGACCTACTGAAGGGAGACTCCAAAGAGAAGTTTGCTGTTCTAGAAAATGACGAGTTGTTCAAAAGTCCTCAAGCTGCAGATTACAATGATGGGTTATCTGGTGCAGAGGACAGCTCAGACTTTATCAAAGAGGAAAAAGATCCAAAAAATGAATTGAAAGAGTCCGATGGTGACCCTGAAATTAAACATGGAGACTGAACCTACCGGTTGTGAGATTAGTGGATGCTATATAATATTGATTGGAGTTAAGTTGGGTTCTAAATACGTCGGTCAAGGTGACACAGAATGTCCTTCTATAGGAATGGCAGAGGAAAAAGCTGCCTACTTTATTTAAAACACTGCTTGTGTCTGTTGTGAGAATTTTATGTGTGGATGTTGCTCTTGTATTTGTCGCCCTTTTTTGTTTTCGGAGTTTTCAAGACTTCTTTTGGTCTTTGTTTGATGGTTTCAGAATTCAGATGTCTTCATTTAGGTCTTAGCAGTGGAAGTGGAAGTTAAAGTGTATCGTCCTAGCCTGGTAATGTTGTGTACTATATATTATTTCTTGGAAAGTCGTTTCATTTGTTGTGCAGCTCTTACCAGACATTTCAAACTTATATTTAAAGATTACAATCATACGTGTGAGACAGCAACTACATATACACTTATATCTTAAGCACTCAACCCTAAAATAAACACAGTACAAACAGCAGAAATGTTGATAGCCGAATCAGTAACCTACCAAAAAGTGAACATTTATGAACTGCAGCAAGTGACTTATTTTCTGATCTTGTCATTTCTCCATTGATGGTGGAAAAATGTTGCACGGTTGTTGAGCCGGGTTTAGGTCTCTCTCCACAAGGACCAATACCTGAATCAAATGATGAGTCCAAACCATTCTCGAAACCATTACTTGCATCATAGCATAGTCCTGAATTGTTGTAGAGCCTTAGCTTCCTTCTCATCCTCCAAACCATCTCTCTCCCAAATGGGACAGGTCCTGATAACCCATTGTTGTTTAGCCTAAGCTCACTCAGTTTGTTCAGCTTACCAAAGCTTGATGGAATCGAACCATTCAGGTTGTTTCCATCTAGATGAAGGACTCGGAGATTGGGTAAATGTCCTAGTGACTCGGGTATCGTACCGTGCAAATTTGTGGAAGAGAGGACTAAGATCATCAACCCTTTCAACCCATTGAACCCATCATCAGGAATTGTTGTGGACAACATAGGATTGTTTTGGAGAATCAAAGTTTGAAGAGAATTTAAGTTTGTGAGAGATTTTGGAAGTGGTCCGGAGAGATGATTATAGCTTAAATCCATGAGAATTAGGCCTTTAAGGTTGCCGATGGACTCAGGAATTGGACCAGAGAGGCGATTCCGGCTGAAATCCATTTTTATGAGAGAATGGCAGGTTCCAAGGGTGGATGGAATTGAACCCATAAGGTGATTTTGGTTAAGGTCTAAGAGATTCAAAACAGGGAAGGTTAGACCGGGAATTGAACCGGTTAGTTTGTTGGCGCTCAAATCCAACGACTTAAGACCGGTGATCCGGCCCAGTGAAGCCGGTATTGAACCATTGAGATTGTTTTTGTGGAGATCAAGGACACTCAAACGGGTCAGATTGCCCAGTTCGTTAGGAATGGGACCCACATGCCCATTCTCCCTAAGGACTAGGGTTTTTAGGTTGGGCCCTAACTGGCCCAAAAATGATGGGATGGGTTGAGGGTTGTCACTAAAACAACGGTAGAAGAATAAGGTCCTAATGTGTGGGAGCTTTGCGATGGAAGGTGACAAGTAGGAACGGGTCGGGTCACATGTCGGGAACGCAGTGTCATCGGAGAGAGCTCCGAAGGACAACGACACAACATGGTAGACGTTATCGTTGTCCGGCATGCACTCGATGCCATGCCACCGGCCACGACAAACATCAGGTATATCGGTGGCCCATTCGTTCCCGGTAGCCTTCATGATGTCATAAACTGCTTCTTGCTCCCGGGCATCCGTCCGGGCTCCTTTATTATTCATCGAGAACCCGGTTTGCGGGGCATCCACTAGGGCCGAGGGCACGCCGGAGTCCGACATGATCACCGTGAAGGGCATGACAAAAGGCACGCACATGAAAGTCAGTAGTAAAATTGTTTGTAGTGAGACAAAGAGACACATTTTGAGAGATAGTGAGAGAGAGAGAGACTGAGATTAGTTACCGTTGTTGGAGTGTGGGGGTGTTAAAAGAGGTGGGAAATTAATGAAATGAGTGAGGTTGGTGAATGAGATATAAAGTGAAATAAAAAGAAGTTGGTGCATGAACTGAAGTGGGTTAATTATGGATTCACGAGTATTGGAGGTATTGAAATAAATACATGGACCTCTGGGAATGCATTAATGAGCTGCACGAGAATTAACCCCCACCCACATAGATTTGGGTAGTTGGGGTATGCCTATGAATTGGGCTCAAACCCGGTCCACTATTATTTTCAATAATACATAAATCCACGATTTATTGATTTGTTATAGAATCCTAGATTTTTGTGGGCTCAAGCTATGGACCTGTATATGGTTTTCATCCTGGCCCAAGATTGTTTCTTTAAGAATAATAAAAATGGCTTGCTCTTTAAGGTTATATTTGCATAGGCCCATCCAACAACGTGGTAATTGGACCTGTATAACTATATAATAGGTGCTGTCTTTGGGTTCGGTGCCTTCTAACTCAAAATTCTTACATTCTCTCCGCCCGGAATTGCAACGCTTTCATCACGGTTGATATACTCTCTATCCATCTAGTCTTTATCCAAAGTGTCATTTAGCCTGACACCGAATTCAGGCTTTGACTCTGATGGTAAATTTAATATTCAAAAGTTTAAGATGTTGGGTAGTGTTACATACTTAACCAGACAGGGCCAGTTCAGGTCCAAGTGAGGGCGGATGCCCTACTGGATTTTTTTGAATTTACATTATTACTTATAGTTTTAGTTAAATTTTGAAAAATACCCTACTCATTTTTTAAAAAATTCCCCCTTCACATTTTTACCTCACTTATTTCTCAACTGAATTTTTTTTCTAATTTATATTATTACCTAAATTTTTTAAAATGCCCCCACTCCAGGCTCCCCTTAAAAAATTCCGAAATCCATCATTATACTTAACCGTATATATATTCCATTCATTTCTCATCCAAATTCAATTTGTGATGAGCCCCTCTAACAACAATCCATTATGACCAAAATAAAAGAAAGCGGTAACATATGTCCACGTAATTTAAATTATAATTTTATATTAAGTGTTCAAATTTTTAATTCTTTAACATATATCCACGTAATCTGTAAATTCTGATTCCATAAAGGTATTTTTGAGTTTTCAAAAAGGTTTAGATTCATCATTTTATGGGGATTAGTAAAGGGTATTTGTGTCATCTTCCTATAAAAATGGCATTTAAAGAAGAAGAAAAATGGGTAACGGTTTATCAATAAATAAATAAACAAATGGTATGCGACTATCTATATTTTTGTTAGAACCTAAAAATGTCGGTCCTAATATTTCTAGTAATTTTCATTTTTACATTACTAAACTAATTTTTTTTAATTTTATATAATAAGAGTATATTGATAAAAAGAATATAAAACCCTCTCACCTTTCCTTTCGAGCAACAATAAATAAATAAAATATATCACCCATCATTTTCTCTTCTATCCATTTCATCAAACCAAACAATCAAACAAAAAGCATGAGAGAGATATATCTTTCATTCCATCTACTTTTTCATCACTCCAATTAAGCGTAGCATAAGTGAAACCTCAAAAATAGATTAAGATAATTTTTTTATATTTTGAGTAAGATTAAACTAAACAAATACTAAAAAAATTCGAGAGATCTTGAATTAGAATAGTGTGAAAGGGTCCAATATAAAATATATAAAAATGAATAATTTTGTAAAATGATTGAAAATGACACTATTGGAGTACGATGCTCCTTACTTGCAAAAACACTTTTAAAGTTTCAATTTAATACAAATAGGTCATTCTGACAAATTTAAACCCTAAGTTCATTAAATTACCCTTATTAATTTTGTAAAATATATAATTTTGTAAAATGGTCGAAAATGACACTATTAGATGACGACGTCAATGGACAACTAAAGATAAAAATAGAAAATAAAAATAAAAGTACAAAAGAAAAGTAAAGATAAAAATAGAAAAAATAAAAATAAATAAATAAATAAAGTGCAAACTAAAGAAAACAAATCTGCTCCAAACTCCGAAAACCAGTACTCACTGATATTGGGATTTTTTTTTCCTTTTTTCTCGTTTAACAATGTTGATACAAAATATATATATATATATATAAATAAGAATAAGTTTTTTTTTTTTTTTTTTTTTTTTTTTTTTTTTTTTTAACAAAACAGTAAACTGAAATAGTTATTTTTATTATTATTTTTTTTTTATAAGAAAACAGTAAACTGAAATCTCAAAAAATTCAAATCCTTATTTTACAAATTCTCAAAGTTTTTCTAAAAAAAGGGTTTAGAGATATATATAAAGAAAAATGTTTCAAAAAAAAGAAAAAAAAAAAAAAAAAAAGGTAATGTGTACATAATACCCATATATTATCAGATTAGTAGTATATATACCCAATTGGGAAGAGTAAAAAGGCAAAACAGGTATTATAGCATTAATTTATGTTAGATTTCTGATTGAAGGGTATTTTTGCACAATGTGAAAAGATTAGGGGTATTTTTTGCACACTTTTTCAAATATGGGGTAAAAGTGCTACGCAGAGTATACTTTAGGAGTGTATTCTGCACTTGTCCTAATATATTTGTGCATGCAACAGGATGTGCGGATTACAGATGCATTAAAGCCACTAAACTGAATTGTACCCGAAAATCACACACAATGGTGCATTGAGTTATTTATCAATTACTCTCCCAATTCATGTAAATTGTTCATTTGTGTACACAACATCTTCCAAATGGAGGCAAACCCCAAACCTAATTCATAGGGTAGTTTATTTATTACCTTAAAAAAAACTCGGGATGTTGATCTAAGAAATAGACCCTATAAGCTAATAAATAATATCCTGAACAATTACAATAATCGGGTTCATTGATAATCCTAGTATAGTAGATGCTATCACACATACAATCATGCTCAATTCGATGGAATTGCTTGATCTTAAAAGATATCTTATATAACTGCGCATGTGAGGGGTTATTTCTTGGTTTCGCCCAGTCGAGTCCAACCTAATTTCGTATGAGTTCGAACAATTATTTTTATAAATAAAGTATATAGGTTAAAAAAATATCAGTCCAACTTTAATTAAGATTGAGTTTGAGTTAAGGTGGCAACACTCAAAATTTAATTTGATTTCATATATATATATAGTCAATTATTTAAATTGATAAAAAAAAAACAAAAAACAAAAAAAAACCTAAGATTGTTTGTTATTTACATTAATTATGTATAGTGATATATTGTGTGAATTTCAAAAATATAAAAGAATGAGAATGTAATCTATAATTTTCTTAAGATTAGTGTGGTAATCAAATATCTAATCTGAAATCTCAATCGGAATTGCAACTCCAAATTCAATTCAAGAAAAAATAAAATAAAATAAAAATCTTAAAAACTTTACTTTTGAAAAAAAAAAAAAAAAAAAATCCAACTTTTCTCTCAAAAATTTCTTTTAAGATCTATTTACTTTTTGCTTTATTTTTTATATTTTATGTATCAATACTCAACATTTTGCACTTTGATTTGTATTTGTTATTTTTTTTGGACAATGACACTCCCTTATGAGATTTGCAATCCAAACAGAGCCTAAAAACATATGAAAAGTTTACTTTACCCTTCATTATTTGATTAATTTTAAGGGTGAACTGCAAATAACCCCATTCGACTTTTACCTTATAGCAAATAACCCCATTTGTCAATTGTTTTAGCAAAAAAAACCCCTCAACTATCATGAGGGGGGTATTTTAATTGACATCTGTCCAAGTAATTTTTTAGGCAAATTTTTTAACCAAATTACCCTTCAATGTTCACTGTTGAAGAAATAGTCAAAGCCCATCTCCACCGGCAGCTCTCTCCACGAACCAGCCCGTCCTCACCACCGTCCGACCTTACCGTTCAGAGAAATGACGAAAATATATGAATAGCTCCTGAATACGTACCGAAGCTTTGCCACTAAATTAAAGAGGGAGGGGATTTCTAGGAATCTATAGCAAACAAAGGAATGGCTTTATGATGATGGAGATTATGAATCTGAACATGTTTATAATGAGAAACTGAATTATTTTAAAAAGGTGATTCACTTTCTTAATTTTACTTCTCATTTTTTGGATTGTCTTCTAATCGTACATTTGACGTCTTCTTGTTTTCTCTAGTTGGTGGATCCTATTGAGAACCGATACAAGGATGAAAAGTCCCATCCATAAGCAACAAGGGCTCTATTAAATTGTATTGTGGAACATCGGATGGCTGTAGGATCACTTCCGGCCAATGAAAGATACGCGGTATATTTTTTCGTGTAGTTAATATTACCCAAATATTGACTTTAGAGGGGGGTGAATAGAGTATATGGCAAACAATGGCCAATTTTTCGTTTTGCAAATTCTACTAAACCTTTCTAACAATTATGCAATAATCAAGATATAAACATAAACAATTAATAACATAAATGTAAAGGAGATGAAGGAAGAGAGATTGCATATATGGTGATTTTAGCGAGGTTCAGAAACTCCTACTCCTCGGCTCAAGACCTCTCTTGAGACTTCCCAATCCACTCGTGCACCTCCTTACGAGTGGAGAGTAAATATTTACATGAAGTAACTATTTACTTCACTTTGCTAAGAGACAACCTCTCTTAGTCTTCCTTTGGGTCACACTAACTCTTACAAATTTAAGTTAGTTTGCTTCTTCTTCCTTGGGCCACATCAGCCTTTACAAATGAAGATCAGATTTGTTGCATACAAATATATCTCTCAAAGATTGATATACAAATCAAAGCTCACAACTAGAGTATAGATGAATAGATTGAAGCTCAATACTCTACGAATGATATGGGATGAAAGAGTATGATATGAATGAAGAACAAAAGTTCTTATGATGCTAGAAGATGTCTCTCAAGTGTAGTAACCTAAAATCCCGAAGTCCCCTTACTCTATTTATAGAGTTTCTGCAGCTAATTCAAAAATAGAGTTGTTGTGCACGCGGTATAACTTATTTCCATTGTAAACTTAAAGTAAATAGACATATAAATACTGTAAAGACATTTACTTAAATGTTTTCAATGGAAATACGGAATTACCCCCATTTGGATTCAATAAAAAATATTAAAAAATTGAAATCCAACTAAATCAAAATGTAGAAATTCAGTTTTTGTACAAATTTGGATTTTCGACAGTTTTGGTAAAAATGAATCCTTATGTAGACCAATGTAGACTTGGTCAAAAATTATGATAAAATCAGTTTAGGCTAATTGAAGTATAAATAGTTATTATCGGAAAAAATTATTTTGAAATAATCATTATTTCAAAAATTCATTTTTCACACTTAACAAAAAACACATTTTTTCATAACGCGTATTCTGGGGTCCTAATGTCCGTTATCAACTCATGGTAATGAAGGCTTCTCATGCCTTAATTGTTGACCAATATGAATTATATGATTGATGTCCATGGTCTTAGCATTTATAGCACAAGTGATGAGTTATTTCAAAGCTTATGCAAGCTTGAACTAACTCACTCTTTAGCAATGATTTCACGTGCAATTATTTATGAATGAAGTGCATAGTCTATTGCTAATATATATATAAACTTATGAATGATGATATGATATGCATGGTCCTGTAGAGATAAGCTTCATATTGATTCATAAATACTTTGACATTGAATCCTAAACACTCACCATCTTATCTACCCATTTCTTCATACTTTGTCCATGATCGTGTAGGCTTTCAGGTAGACTTGCTTTCTTCATTTCTTTGAGTTGCTTTCTTGTTCGTTATAGTCCAAGGTATCTTTGGATGGACTTTGTATTTGCTTCTTTGTAACTTTATGTTTTCTTTGTATCCATTACTTTCCTTGATGTGATCTTGAATAATGGAATACTTGGAATGATCTTTCGTGCTTCATTGAGATCATCCTTTGAATGTGAATAATCTATAACACTCAATGTAAACATTAGTCCTTAAACACCATTAATGGTTTGTTATTATCAAAACCTCTAGATTGTCCTTGGATGAAATCCTTAAGGTTAACAGTTGATAATGATAATTTTTTAAAGATTTGATGATGATGATGATTGCGATAATGATGTTGCTGGTCATAAATCAGTCAGCTATTTGGGCTTTCTTGCTTTGTAGGTTTTTCATGAATACAATAAAGCATAGCAGTGGCTGAGAGAAAAAAACTCAGCAACATGATTCATTAACCAAAACTGCCGACCCAATACTGTGATCAAGTGAGGCTCTTGACGCGTAAGGCTCATATCACCAATTATCACCAATTTGTACAAAGATTTTAGAACTTCTAAATTATAGTCTAACCTTGAAGTTTCAATAGCAGAGAGCTGCCGTTGGAGAATGGCTGGTTCGTGGAGAGAGCGGCCGGTGGAGACGGGCTTTAGCTATTTCTTCAACAGTGAACATCGAGGGGTAATTTGGTCAAAAAAATTGCCTAAAAAATTACTTGGACGGATGTCAGTTAGAATACCCCCCTCATGATAGTTAAGGGGGGTTTCTTGCTAAAACAATTTATAAAGGGGGTTTTTTGCTAGAAGGTGAAAGTCGACGGGGTTATTTGCAGTTTGCCCTAATTTTAATTATAAAATATCAAAACAATTAAATGGCCGATTAACCCTTCTTCTCTCCCCTTCCCCACCCTCTCTCTTTATATATATATATATGTTTATTTACAGTGTATATATATCAATACACACAATCATTAAAGAGCACGATGATCGAGACATTCTAGCGATGGTGACCACGGTGGCTGTGACCAGGATGAAGGTTAAAGAAGATTCCGGCGATGATGCAACAATAAGGAGCAACGATGATGATCTGTTTGCAGCTTGACTGAAACGACGAGCAAGGATTCACAACTCTGAGGAAGTAGTGTCGCGATTCAACTGGTGGTTTGGTCTTCAGTTCTTCGGATCGGGAATTGGGATATCCCATTTAATTATTATTATTTTTAATTGGGGTTTGGCTTTGTGATGGGTGGAGGTTTTTGGTAGACAGGGTTTTGCACCGGTGGGCTGTGTGGGTTTGCGGTTGTGACGCTGACACAGGTTATAGTGGTGTTTATCTGTGGAAAATACTTTTGCTGGTGATGGTGGCGGTGCTACCAATTTTATTGGTGGTGGGTTTTGTTGTGGAGATGTGGTGATTCATTGACCGGATTTGTAGCGCGACGACGGTGTCGGCTACAAATTCTTGGTCCTTGCAGCTACACAACCTATATTAGAGAAAAGAAAAACATGGTAGAGAAGAGGAAACCCTAAATTGTGAGGGTTGGGATATTGGAAGTTATAGAGGTTGACGTGGCAGTGATGGCTGTAGTGGTGGCTGCAACGATGGGTGAATACACAGTGGTGGTGGTTTTGGGGATGTAAACTATGTTGATGATAGTGGTGGTTTAGGGATGAAGATGGTGGGTTTGAGGGAGATGTCGTTGATTGATTAGCAGAGCAGATGGCTTGTTTGGTTTAGGGTTTAAGAGGGGAAAGAGAATAAGAGAGTAAGGAGAGAGAAAAATTGGGTTGGGTTTCTCAAATGCATTGTACTGGTAATCCATTTGATCTAAGGTATTTAAGTTAATAAAAAATGGTTTAATATGTTCAAGGGTAATAAAGTCAATTCACCATGTACTCCCTCCTCCGTCCCTTATTAGTTATCCATTTTTTGTTTTATAACTCTTTAAGGAAACATGCAATTAATGCATTGTTCCCATTTCAAATTACTAAGTTGTCCTTCAAACTTTAAGTATATATAATACTGTAAGATTTTTAAAAAGTTAGAAGGGTAATTATGGAAAGATGACATTTATATTGTTTGACTTTTCAAAATGGATATTTAATTTGGGAAACTCTAAAAAGGAGAAAATGGACTACTAATAAGGGACAAATGGAGTATCATTGTTAATTTTATGTCATTGTCCAAAAGTAAGGCAACCTGCATATGACTGTTCTTATGTTCTTATGACAAATCTAGGGGGTGTCATTGTAATTTACCATTGTTGTTTTATTCTTAGGCAAGTGATAGCCACAGTGTCATTTCATTCTTATAAGTACATGAACATATCTCATTTCAAAATATCCCAACTATACCTTATAAGTCAATACGCTTATCTGTGCTTTCCCTTTTCTATGCAACCCCTTTTACTTTCCATGAGTAGACAACAACAAGCCAACTCGCGTCAATATTCAATAATCAACCACTACACTAACTACTGCCACGTGTCTAACAGGCGATCGTTGCAGTTTATGATGTTACCACACGCTCCAAATAGCGCGTAGAAATATTATTTTACGAAAATAGTATTTTATTTGCTTTGAAAGCTTTTGATTGACATCGATGTATGTGTTTCTCTCTCCTCTTCGACCATGTTCGGAGAGAGAGAGAAAATACTTAAAAAAAAAAAAAAAAAAAAAAACGCACACTCTTAAAAAACTACCCATCTGTCTTCGTCGTTGTAATCACGTCTTCTGCAAAATTGGTCTCCGATCCGTTACTTTTCTTTACTCTCTCTAAGTCAGTCAAAGGTATTCATATAATATCGAAGATTCTCTTCATTTGATTCTTCGATATATGAGTATGTATATGTGTATTTATGTATAATTTCGTTCGCTGTGATTTGATTGTTTGAAAGATGGGATTGATCGATCGGTTACCGAAACCCTAATTTCATAAGATTTTGTTGTGTTTGAACTCCTCGATTACTCAAATTCTGCTGATCTGTGAGATTTGGCGCTCTCCTGTCGTTTCGTTCGGGGGACGATGTCGTCGCTAAGCAGAGAACTCGTTTTCCTGATACTTCAGTTCTTGGATGAAGAGAAATTCAAAGAGACAGTTCACAAGTAAGGGATTTATACATTTCCATTTATCTATTTTGAATTCGCTACGAATTTAATTCTTTTTTGGCTGGTTTTTGGGTTTTTTAGGTTGATTTTGTTTAATTTTGATTGAAGGTTGGAGAAAGAGTCAGGGTTTTTCTTCAATATGAGATACTTTGAGGACGCTGTGACTAATGGCGAGTGGGACGAGGTGGAGAAGTACTTATCTGGGTTTACAAAAGTGGAGGATAATAGATACTCGATGAAGATTTTCTTCGAGATCCGAAAGCAGAAATACCTTGAGGCACTAGACAAGTCAGTGGTGGCGTGATAATGATTGAATTTTGCCATATATTTGTTTGATGATAACTAATTTATTAGATTTTTGAGGGTCTTGTGAATGCTGTAACTGGGTTTACCTTTTCAGGCGAGATCAGGGTAAGGCGGTGGAGATTCTTGTGAAGGATTTGAAAGTGTTCTCCACCTTCAATGAAGACCTCTTTAAGGAAATAACATTCCTTCTGACTCTTGGAAATTTCAGGTATAGTGAACCTTTTTCTTATGGGAGAACGTTTGTTGTTGATGATGGTGAAAATTGGCAAGGAAACTATGTGCAGGCTGTTTTACGATTAATTGTCTACTGGAATTTTACATATTATACAATAGGAATGCTTTATATACAATTGGACTTAGAACATGGGATATACATTGTTGTCCATGCAAAGCTGGAGCGGATTAGCGATGTTGAGTTAGGGAATGGACCCAATAATATATATCAAGCTTGAACACCCTCCCTCACGTGCAACCCGTCTTGAAGGTGACAGCCATACAGACCAACCTGAGACGAGAAGAAAAGGCAAACTTGTACACCAAACCGGAGAACAAATGCATAATGGAAACTTGAGCCAAGACCTTTTAAAAACAAAGCTTTGACACCAGATAATCACATATACTTAAAAGTTTTAAGTTGTTAGAGAGGCTGTAACTTAAGTATTTATATCCTCTGACATCCTCCTCACATGTAGCCATACTTGATAGTTGAACTTTTTTATGGTCATTAGGTATAGTTATTTAATATCTTGTTCTCATTTCTTTGGTGTTTAATGGAAAATCCGATTCCAGGGAGAATGAGCAGCTTTCTAAATATGGAGATACTCAGTCAGCAAGGGCTATAATGCTTGTCGAGCTCAAAAAGTTGATTGAGGCAAATCCCCTCTTCCGTGATAAGCTGCAATTTCCCACTTTAAAGAATTCCAGGCTACGGACATTAATAAATCAGAGGTTTTCCGTATGAAATATTTATGCATATGCTGATCATAAAAAAAAAAATAATGTTGAGTTATTGCTGCTATTTGTTTAACTTGTATTTTTTATTGCAGCTTAAATTGGCAGCACCAGCTTTGCAAGAATCCAAAGCCTAATCCTGACATTAAAACCCTTTTTGTGGACCATACTTGTGGGCAACCAAATGGTGCTCAGGCTCCATCCCCTATCACTAATCCTCTTATGGGCTCCATGGCTAAAGTAGGTGGCTTTCCGCCAATTGGTGCTCATGGTGTAAGTAAACAAGAAAAAGAGCCAAGTTATTTCGTCATTTCAAGAATTTGGATTTGGGAATTCTTTTTTTATTTTATTTTATTTTTTACTTTTCCAGCCATTTCAGTCCTCACCAGCCCCTCCTCTTACGGCGTCTCTTGGAGGATGGATGGCTAATACATCTTCTCTGCCACACCAGCCTGTTACTGCTGGGCCTATAGGCTTAGCTACTCCTAACAATGCAGGTATTGTTGTAGTAATGAAATATGTATTATTTGTACCAGTTATTTGTTTCCATCTTTTTCTTTTCTGTTAAAAATTAGATTTGGACCTTATAATTTGGTGAAATTTGGAATCAGTTGAAAAACATCTTCGAGGCGGACACGTCATAAATGAAAAGGTCAGAAGTTGAATAAAAAAAATGTTATGAATTGCATGGTGTCTTTTATCATGCTAGTAAATGAAAAAATTTCATTCAAGCTATACTTACCATTAGAAAGTAATGTGTAAAAACTGAGATATCTAGGATTTAAGTTGTTTTTTCCACCTTATTCTAGACTGATAGACTAATGATTTTGTAATACCATTCATACAGTAAAAATCCTAGTTAGTTGCACCAGTTAGGAAGAGTAACATGGTTCACGTTGAGGGTAACACCAGGGAATGGGAAGACTAAAATCAAGATGGCTAGATTTAGCAAGAATATATGATGTGGTTTGGCCATGTATATTGAAAACTCTTCTGCACCGGTAAGGGCGACTTAGTTCAACTTTGAGATACCGCATGAACAATGATATAACCAAGGTCTTAAGTGAGAATCGTTTCTATAACGTTTCTAACGAGCTTATGCATGATAGTTATGTATATATACACATATATAGAGGAGTTAGTTTACCTTATTTTTTTCTCCATTGTTAGTTCTTATTCTCTTGCCCTAAATGTCCTTACTCTTCTATTGATCTAGACAAAGTGACAGTAGACTTAGAGATGGTTGCCTCTTATTTTTTTCATTATTTTCTTTGCTTTATTTTTAAATAAATCTCATTTAACAGATGTTATATTTTAAAAAAAATATTGAATAAGGTGTGACTGTTATGTTTTACAATTACATTTCTCACTTGCTTTCCAGTCCTCGTTCTTTAGTATATCGAGCTTCATTTTCAGAGATTTCATACTTTCAACCCATTTCTTCTTTTTCTCTTATTATATTTTGTTTGTTCTGAGTCTCACTATTCCTTTTGCACTTTATTTTTTGATAGCATCTATGCTAAAGCGTCCTAGGACTCCTACTACTAACAATCCAGCAATGGACTATCAAACTGCTGATTCTGAACATGTGCTGAAGAGATCAAGACCTTTTGGAATTTCAGAGGAGGTATACATATATTGTATTAACATGTCCGTTTATTCATCACTGATGTGGAATATGTTAGATCTTGATGGGATTGGAGTCATTTCAAAACTGTTAGTAATTATTCTTTTCCTTATATCAGAATTGGTCATCAGTTTGTGTTTTGGAATTTTGGAGTTTGTTTTGATCCCTGTGAGGTCCAAGGGGATGCTCTGTACCAGAAATTTCAGTAGCATTTGGGGGGAGGTTCCTGAAGCCTCAAAAAGTCCTTCCAAGCTTCAAAATTCCTATTAGTAAAAATGTGACGTTTGGTTATACATACGTAAAGGACTTCTTCTAGAAGCCGGTGGTTAGGAAGTCCATTTCAGAGAAGTTAAAAAACGTTGCTTTTAGAACCCCCTTTGACGTTGCCAATATCTTTTTAAGGAAAATTATTTTACCTACAGCCATAATGCAGACGTTGTTCTTGCTGAAGCACACGATTTCTGGAATTCAATATTATAAATTGATTTTTCTCAAAATCAACCACAAAACACCCTTTTAAGTGGCCACCTCCATAGATTCCAGTCATCACCTTAGATGACTTATTGCAACCAGCAGCCCCAGCCAACTTCTCCTTTAATCTCTCTAAGCATCTGATCAAAGTCCTCCTAATTACCACCACTAGATTCATTAACAGAACCGCTCTATGCGAAGAGAGAAGTAGAAGGATCTTTCTTGAACTCCTCGCCTGTTCACAAGAAAGTGAGAAACCCTCTGTCCGATCACAAGCCTATATAGGTCCGCTTTGGAATCTGATTTTGACAAGACCCAACACCTCTACTGTCTCTGGTTTTTCATCATCAAGCATATAGACTTGGAGCTAACAAAACATTCTCCCTAACACAAGATATCAGCCTCAAAGTCGGCCGAGTCACTGTCAGGAACTTCTTTCGCAATTCAATCAGAGAGACTAAACAAAATGTGAAGGAATCACAAATAAAGTACAAGAAGATTTCAAAAGTGAGAGCGCGCACACACGCACATATAATTTCAATTTTTAATAGCATAAAAAAAATGGCAAACAAGTAGCACAAGTTTCTTGGTAAAACATGACTTTTTATCTCACTTCTCTCTAACACCGGTTTGAACATTAGTAACATAATGCAATTTTGACTTTATCATCGTCCATTAGTTGAATGCAATTTCATTTTCTTAATGGTTGCTCTCGAATTTTGTTCATTCATGTATATGGGTTTTATTTATACCAAATATAATACATATAATTGTTGAAAGCAGATTGATAATATTGTCAATTTGGAGTTATTGTACTTCATCACCAAATGTTATTCATGTGAACTTTTTTATTCAAATTATGTTTGGAAAATGTGTTCACCAGACATCTCTCTCTCTCTCTTTTTTTTGTTTCCACATCCTCCTAATGAAATTCTTCTATGAAGGCCTTTTTGTCGAAGGACTGGTGGTGTTAGGAAGCTCTGCCAAACACCATCTGGATGGTGTTTCTTAGAATGTGATATTGCTATTGGATTTATGAACTCTTTGCTGTCTTCACTCTTCAGATTTCAGATATTCTTTTCCATTATTTGGATATACAGTTAATGGATCCTTCTTATACATGGATTTTTGTAGGTCAGCAATCTCCCTGTTAATATTTTTCCTGTTACCTATCCTGGTCATAGCCATAGCCACACGTTACATTCTTCTGATGACTTGCCCAAGACTGTAGTTGCCAATTTGAATCAGGGTTCTTCTGTCAAGAGCATGGATTTCCATCCACTGCAACAAACTCTACTTCTTGGTTAGCATATTTGCTAATTTTGCTTTTGCTTCTGTTTTAAATTTAAAATTTGTTCTTCTGTGTTGAGCCTAGATATTGAAGGTTGTTTTTATTTATTATTTATTTTTTTTATGCTGGAATTTTGTCAATTTTTTTATTTTTTTATTCTTTTTGTTTTGGTTATTGTTCTTTATTTTATTTTATTGTATTTGTTTATTTTCATTTTAGTTGGTACGAATATCGGCTATATCGCCTTGTGGGAGGTAGGTGGAAGGGAGAGGCTTGCTTTCAGAAATTTCAAGGTTTGGGACCTTGGATCACGTTCAATGACTCTGCAGGTATGAGTTATTGCCAAAAAAATTAAATAAATAAAATGTCTTGGCTTGGATTATTCTAGCATGTTTCTTATGATCACTGACTCATGTTAATCTCTGCCTTTATTTATTTGCACTAGGCATCTTTGGCTAATGAGTATACTGCATCGGTTAACAGAGTGGTGTGGAGTCCCGATGGCTCCCTTCTTGGTATGTTTTAGTAGGGTTATCTATTTATGTGCATTCATTTGTTCACCAGCTCGTTTTCTGGTTATTTTCTCCATTAGAAATAATCAAATTGAAATTAAAGTTTTTCTGACATTAGTGAGGTCCCACTTTTGCAATGAGTTGCATTTTCTAGAATAGAGCACCTAAGAAGCATGGACAGTTCTAAAAAGAGAAGCCAGGTGCGTGTTGTGCATGTGTCAGACACCACCGCTCTTTAACATTTTCGGACCCATGCCCAGGTTTGGAAATGTCTATAATTAAAAATGAACTTTATACATTTGGAAAGACTTTCTTTGGCATGGAAAAGAAGGAACAATTGCAAGGGAAAAATATCAAATTAAAGGTTCATATTAAATTTTATAAAAAGTTTGATCACATCTAAAAACAAAAGATGCAGATAGGTTTTATTACAGAAGTGGGCATGAGTAGGAGAGGACAGAGGATTCATCAATAGTGTATATATTCAACACATACATATCTATTGATATACACAAAGCACAAATAAATATATATGCCTTGTTTTGTTACAACTTCCTTTATTTGACAATTATTACTATATAATATAAAAGTTGTAAATTTTATCTATTAGTTATGAAGTAAACTTATTAGAAATAAAAATAATGTATTTTGTTTCGTCTGTGCTATGTTTGTTTCTTAACTTTTTCTTTTAGATTTGGTTTGTTAAGCATGCTCCTTTCATGTCTGTATTATCCCTGTCCATGACCAGGAAGGATTTTAGTTGGTTTTTCTTCACTGGAATATAAGGAGAAAGGAGTGAATTCTTGAGAAAGATTTGGGCATTTGGTTGTCATTATAATTATTCTACCCTCTGATCCAGGTATTGCGTTCTCAAAGCACATTGTGCAGATATATTCTTATCATGGCGGTGACGATATACGAAACCACCTAGAGGTCTGTATGTCGTGAACTTCTGGTGATCATTTGAACTTCATCGTATCTGGTTGATCTTCTATACAATATTTACCTTCCTCTAGCTTTTTCTATCTGTACAGTGAAACCGATGATTGGATTTTCTTTCATGAATTCTTCCAGATTGATGCTCATGTTGGTTATGTTAGTGATCTTGCTTTCTCTCACCCAAACAAACAATTATGCTTCATAACGTGTGGAGAGGACAAGGCAATTAAGGTTTAGTTTGTTTGTCATTTACCCTTGATGTTATGGCTTCGCTATGGACTGCAATTCTAAAATTCATGTTTGTGCAGGTGTGGGATGCTGCCACCGGTTCTAAACAGTACACTTTTGAGGGTCATGAGGCACCTATCTATTCTGTGCGCCCACATTTCAAGGAAAACATACAGGTATCTTTTGTTAAAAGGCTTGGTTGTGACTTGCCTTCTATTTAGAACGAAGGAGAATGAGTGAGTATTGCCTTAGCAGCAATGTGCCAAAGTGTTTGGTGCTAATATCACTCACACTGGCTATTTGTGATGGGGCTTCATGCATCAACAGGTAGAACATTTTACCAAAAGAAGTTGAAGTCAGAAGTTCTTTGTTTCTCTCTCTCTTTTTCTTTTGTAAAATCTTATATTCTTATATTTATAAACTAATTCGTCTATTTTACATCAACTAATATCCTTTTCTCTCACTTGAAAGAGTAAGTTTTGTGGTTTCTCATCAATAGTTATCTCCTTGCAAAAAATGTGTGCTCAAACTAGAAATTCTGTTACAAGTTCTAAGATTCTACCATGTTGTTCTCAATTGTTATATAATAGTTTTGAAGAGTATGAGAAAAGTGACACTTGAATCTCACATGTTTTTACTTTTTAGTGATCCTCAAACCTTGCCTCTCTAGTTTTTCTTTTCATATGTGTGTGTATACACACACACATGCACGCACACACACACATATTATAGTTAATGGCTTTCCTTTTTTCTGTGTCAGTTCATCTTTTCAACAGCTATTGATGGGAAGATTAAGGCATGGTTATATGATAATTTGGGTTCACGAGTTGATTATGATGCACCTGGTCATTCTTGCACAACAATGGCTTACAGTGCTGATGGGACAAGGTAAAAAATGGTCTGTACCTTGTCTTTTGGCATTTTAGTTCCTTATGATGATGTTGGCTTCTTTCTCTCATTGTGTTAACCATTTGTAGGCTGTTTTCATGCGGGACTAGTAAAGATGGAGGAGAATCATACCTTGTGGAATGGAATGAGAGTGAAGGGGCTGTTAAACGGACATACAATGGACTTGGGAAGCGGTCTCATGGAGTTGTGCAGTTTGATACAACAAAAAACCGATTTTTGGCTGTTGGTGATGAGTTTGTAATCAAATTTTGGGACATGGATAATGTTAGTCTCTTGACGACTGCTGATGCAGAGGGTGGCTTATCGGTAATAATGAATTTTGGGCCTCTAATGGACCTACTTGCCATTTATCTGGAGAAATGTCTTGGTTTGAAGTAACATTTGTTGTCTCAAATATCTTTTAGGCTTCTCCTTGCATTCGATTCAATAAGGAAGGAACACTCTTAGCTGTCTCAACTAGCGAGAACAGTATTAAAATACTTGCAAATGCTGATGGTGTTCGGCTTGTGCGTTCCGTTGAAAATCGTGCACTTGACGCTTCAAAGATTGCTTCTGGAAATGTTGTGAAGGTAAAACCTATCTTTAATCCTAAAAATTTCAAATTTGGACATGCTTGTTACATAAATTATTTGTTATGCAGGCCCCCACAATTGGCACGTTTGGTGCTTCTAGTTCAGCTGCTGGAACGAGCATTAGTGTTGCAGACAAAAGTGCACCAGCAACGGCTATGGTTTCGCTGGTAAGCATGAATTCCTGTCGTGTGTATAAGGGGGTGTTTCTTTGAACAAAGCTCATGTTTTTCATTTAATTTATTCTGTGTGAGTTTCTCTTCTGGTTGATGGAATCATCTTATGCACTCATATGTGATCTGTTGCACGGGTTTTGAATCATTATACAGATAGATGAAATTCAATATAACATATCCATGTTCAATAAATAATCTTTTTGAATATTCTGCAGAATGGGGATGGTAGAAGTTTACAAGATGTGAAACCTAGAATTTCAGACGAGCTAGAAAAATCTAAAATCTGGAAGCTGACTGAAATCAATGATCCTTCTCAACTTCGTTCCCTGAGACTTCCTGATAGCTTATTGTCAGTAAGGGTATGTATCTGCTATGTTATCAGCCTAACCGAAGCTAATATGATTAGCTGCCTGAAATTTTTATTTTTTTATTATTTTTATTTATTCTTAGTGGTACCCAGTGTTGATGTACTCTCTTTCTGTACGCCTTTGGAGTATTATCTTGGTTTTCTTTTTTGGGTTGGGTTAGTAATTGTGTTCCCTTATTGCTGCAAAAAGACTAAAACCACTAGGCTTTGTCTTAGTTGATAACTGGTGTATACAAAAAGGTTCTTTGTTCATTCGCCGGGGAGATTCGATACATACATGATAAGCTTTCATAATAAATTGGAAGTTAATCCATAAAATTTCCTACTGATGTGTTATATTGACCCTATATGGAGCAGCAGCTTTTCTTTCCTTTTTTCTTCCGAGGGGGCAGATTGAGTTGAGAAAGGGACATGTATATCTGGCCTTGGACGGCTAAGGTAAAGTTCCATGGTGTTTACCTATATATATATTGTCCGCTTTGCACACTCTCCTCTTGGTGCTTACTTTGTTCAAAACACGTCTAGAAGGTTGGGAGGCATCCACAAATATAAATTAACAACTTCTCCCTCCCTAGTGATGTGGGATGTCACATTTACCCCCTCTTGGGACCCAGTGTCGTCCTCGCTGGACTGACCCTCATCGGCTTGTGCACGCTGGAAAATAGCACACTTTTTAAAATAGGGGGTGAAAGTGCTATGCAGAGTATACTTTAGGGGTGTTTTCTGCATTTAACCCTAATTTGTTTTGTGCGATAAGGTCCTACAGCTGCATATTGTTATTTCTTTAAAGCTTAGAGTTGTCCCTTTGACCAGCTGTGGCAGAATTCTCCCCTTCTGCCTGTATGTCCGGAGAAAAATTGTCCTCTACAGTCATAGTCTCGGTTATGTTCTAGGTCTTTGCTGTATCTCCAAGTTGCTGAACATTTTGTTTTTTTGATAAGTAAGTTGCTGATCATTTTCATTTTCTATTATAGATTATTAGGTTGATTTATACTAATTCGGGAGGTGCCATATTGGCATTAGCATATAATGCTGTTCACAAACTCTGGAAATGGCAGAGGAATGAGAAAAACTCGACGGGAAAGGTATTGATATTTATGTTTCTATGGTATCACTTTTTCTAAACTCTTTTATTATCAGTGAGCCTTTCTTAACAAGTGTTGTGCCTCTTGTAGGCAACAGCTAGTGTGCCTCCTCAATTATGGCAACCTTCTAGTGGAATATTGATGACCAATGATATCAGTGAGACAAACCTTGAAGATGCTGTTCCCTGTTTTGCACTTTCAAAGAATGATTCTTATGTCATGTCAGCATCAGGAGGGAAAATTTCCTTATTTAATATGATGACATTCAAGGTAAGAGCGTATCCTACATGCTTCTGCCTTACATTGGGTTCATCTTCTTGGCATACTGCTATTCTGTTTTCTAGTTATATTCCGTGTACATATTTTTTCACATAAAGAAATTCTTGTACTCATCCCTTTTTCAGACAATGACAACATTCATGCCCCCACCGCCTGCAGCAACATTCCTTGCCTTCCATCCACAAGACAATAACATTATCGCTATTGGCATGGAGGACTCTTCAATACAAATCTACAATGTTCGGGTGGATGAGGTCTTTAGCCTGAACTATGATCTAAATAGTGCAGCTCAGATATGTTCACAGCTACATCTTTGTTGTTATGATTGAAAATTTTGATGTCATGTGCACAGGTCAAGAGCAAGCTAAAAGGTCATCAGAAGAGAGTAACTGGCCTTGCATTTTCTAATGTTTTGAATGTTCTTGTATCATCAGGAGCTGATGCTCAGGTATGCTGTCCATGGCTTTGAAAAGGGGAATAAATCAGATCGTCTCTATACACCAACACAAACACACACGCACGGGCACAGACACACACATGTAGTGTGTGTGTGTGGTCTTAATTATACGTGCATGTTTATAACATGTGTCCTTGGGGAGGGGTTGCTCTTTCGGTATAACTGGTGGACGCAGTAGCCTTCTAAATAGCTATGAAGAATTTGTATAACATGAAATTACAACTCCAGCAGTACGAATGTCACCAGAAAACTTCTGGGAAATTTAGTTAAGACAAGCTGATGTGTCGATGTGTCTAGTACTCTAGTTACATTTCATAAATGGTCTGACTCATGTAAATTGATTGCATTCATTCCACTTTCACGTAAGATGTTTACCCCATTTTGCTTGTCTCGTTTTATCTGAAAGGCAGAGTGGTTTACCAGTAATATAGCACTTCAAAATTGTATGGTTATTGTTCCCCCATTATTTATATGCATATGCATTTTGATTTTGTGCTTTTGTTTCCAGATTTGTGTTTGGAGCACAGATGGATGGGAGAAACAAGCTAATAAATTCTTGCAGATTCCAAGTGGCCGAGCTTTAGCACCTCTTGCACAGACCCGTGTTCAATTTCATCAGGATCAGGTTCATGTTCTGGTTGTCCATGACACTCAGATAGCTATATATGAGGCACCGAAGCTAGAATGCCTTAAGCAGGTTTGTGTGGCATTACTTATTTACAATGTGTTGAGATTATAAACCTATGCTCATATTGTGAAGAATGCTCATGGATTTTGTACTTCATAGTTGATGTACTAAATTTAAAAATGCTTGTTTATTTAGTCTGTATCTGCTTGATTATCACCATGTTCATATTGAATATCCTTGCATGCTTGAATAACTGTTTTCTTGTTTCAGAAGAAGACCTGGTTGTATTTGGGGGGGGGGAACCTATGCTCATATTTACAATGTGTTGAGATTATAAACCTATGCTCATATTGTGAAGAATGCTCATGGATTTTGTACTTCATAGTTGATGTACTAAATTTAAAAATGCTTGTTTATTTAGTCTGTATCTGCTTGATTATCACCATGTTCATATTGAATATCCTTGCATGCTTGAATAACTGTTTTCTTGTTTCAGAAGAAGACCTGGTTGTATTTGGGGGGGGGTGAAAATTTCATGTTCCAATAATAGCCTAGGATTGTTTTTGTATTCATAATTCAGTCTGTTAAAAAATGTGGTTTGTGACAGTGGCTTCCTAGAGAGTCAACCGGTTCAATCACAGATGCTACCTATTCGTGTGACGGTCAATCAATCTATGCAAGCTTTGAAGATGGGAGTGTGTGCGTCCTAACTGCTGCAACATTGAGACTGAGATGCCGAATTAACCCCACTTCTTACTTACCTTCTAATCCCAGGTAAGTGTTATTATTGCTGATAAGGTAATGAAATCTGATATTTTACACGTCCGTCTCTAATTGCCTGATTATATTTGACAGCTCAAGGGTGTATCCACTCGTCATTGCTGCTCATCCATCTGAAAACAATCAGTTCGCCTTGGGACTTACTGATGGTGGAGTTCAAGTTTTTGAACCCTTGGAATCAGAGGGAAAGTGGGGTAATGTGCCACCACTTGAAAACGGCGCAGGGCCTAGTACCACCCCTGCTGCAGCTGGTTCAGATCAACCATCAAGGTAACTATAGTTGTCTGTGCCTTCTGCTAATAACCGAGTGAAAATGCCTCACAAATTTTCCCCGTTTTAATTTTGAGGGAGCTGTGAAACTTTAGGTATTTTAGCTTGTAGAATTCACAGTTGTTAAGGGTGGCAGAAACTGAGATGATAGAGAATATTGTCATTTTGTGGTTAAGACTTGGGGGATTTTCCCTCCACAAGTATAATGATGAGAAATGTTAAAAAAAAAAAAAAAAAAAACCTTTTGATATGAATGAAGATGAGACATAGGTGGGAGGAGAATAGGAATTAGGGCTAACTGAGGGAATTATGCCTCTCCAACTTTTCAATCATGGATCAAAATATGTTTCAATTTGTTAGGACTTCTGGAATTTCCTTCATGAGCTTGACGTATTTTTCTTTTCTTGTATCTGGAAATTTTCTTTTTAATCGTTTAATTATAAATCAATTGGTTCTCTTTCCAACATTTTGGTTTTGTGCAAGTGGCTAGTTCGCTCGCTCTCTCAAACTTTCGGTGATATTCAAATCCATCAGTCTTTATAATTTGAATTAAACTTGTTAACCTTCATACTGCATTCAGAACACAACATACTTGAATATGTGGTCTTTGATAGGGGATTAACACAGGGTGGTCCTTAACCATTCATTGATCTAAGAAACCCTATTCAACTTTGTTCACATGTTAAGTGAAGTTTGGAATTGTTGGTTCACTTGCCATATGATTTTCTCTTTTCTTGTATCTATATAATAAATTAATTACCATTATAAATGAAGATGCAAGAAATTTTCACTCTCAATTTAGAAAGAGTAATTCTATACTTTAAAGATTTTTCGATCCCTTTTCCCTCTCTTTTCTGTCTATTTGTAGACGGTTACAACTATTCTCGAAGCTCTCTAACTGATTTTCTTGTGATGGGCTGGCCTTGTCAGCTTTCCTTCGTTTTGGGCCCATTTCCTTTCGTCTTACTTCAGGCTTCTGAACTGATCTCCAGGTCCTGGGCCTGCTCAGTGAGGACTTGTTTCATTTCAGTTGCTCTTACCCGACCCGTTCCTAATAACCTAGATCGTGCCTAGCCCAGGCCACTTTTGGTATCCTCATCTGCCCCTATAATCTCTCCCTAATTAATTAGAGAGAGATTATTGAAAGGACATAATCATGACATGACGGCTCGAGGCGGTGATATGGGGAAGCGAACGGTTGGCTCAGAGACCCACGCTTTGAGATCCGTTACACCATTATTGCCGTAGTCCTTTTGGTATTGAATCTTTTCCACTTAAAAAAATCCCAACTTCTTACCTTTCGTCTTTCTGCAACCTTTCTCACCTCCATCCTCAAGTGTCATCTTCTTCAATTATCTCTGTCACCTACCAGTGTCTTTCGGCTAGCTTTCCCTTTACAATTCTCTGACTTTCGCTTTCTTACGGGGTACTTTGCAAACTCCCTTCCCAAGGTTAATTCTAACCCTTTACTGTTTTTCTTCAACAAAAAAGAAAGTTTAAAATCTAAAAACTTTTCCGCCCTTGTTATGGCTCGTGACCTAGAGGCCTTTCACTCGAGGAACAACATTCCTAACGATGTCTCCCTTAGGGTCTACCCCATGAATCTGGACGAGAGCTCTGGTGAGGTTCTCCTTCTAGGGGAGGTTTTCTTCTCTGTTCTTCACTTGAATGTAATTAGATTCCCTTTACACCCGTTCTTTTGTTATGTCTTCAATAAATTATAGCTTTTTCCCCTCTTCAGGTTAACCTTAACTTCCTTGGGACAATATCGGTCCTTTTGATTTTGAATCATGATAGGGGTCTTGACTTAGATATCATAGACCTTCTCTTTTGCTACTGAATTACCAAAATCAAAACCAATGAGATATATTTTCACTTCTTTCCCATCGAGACGCGATCTATCTGTACGGACAAGCTCTCATCTGAAAAGGGTTGGAGGAAAAATCTAATTGGGGTCAGTGGAAATTGGCGAATTCCATTCGCTCAGACCTTCCTTATCCCGACCCCTTTTGGAGAGTGCTTTGTCCCTCAACACAAGAAATTTAAGAGAATCCGACAGACTGCCACTGTGAAACTTGCCTTCCTCGTTTTTGTACTTTTCTTTGCAAATGCCTTTAAATAAATCATGATGAATTGGTTTACAGTGTTTGCAGGGCAGGCTTGATATTCTGAAAGAGAGAGTCCTGAACAACATCCCTTCTGCCACTGATCTGCTCACCTTTGACAATCTCTCTGACATATCCGTCCTTGAATCTACTATGGAGAGTATCCAAATTCCTTCTTTCAGCAGGAGGAAGCGTTCTGCACCCACTCCTTCAGCTGCACCAGCCACCACTGTGGCCACCTTAATCGTCCCGGCTATGGCCCAGACCACTGAGCGTCTGATCGTTGGGCCTCTGCATCCTCCTCGGTTAGGGTTCAATCTGTCGTGCCGAACGACGAACCCTTTGACACCTTGACTAAAGCTACCCCACATAGTGCTCAGAACGTTGAGGGATCTTCTATGGCCTTACAACCATCCTTTATGACTATCTCAACCGGACACAAGAAGACAGGACTTCCAAGTTTCTTGTTTTCGAAGACCGTGATATTCGTGATTGGGTCGTTAAGATCAGCGGCTTACAAAAGGCATCTCTCCGAGACTTGCCTTTCTATTTCTTAGGTAATTGGTTAGCTCCTTGGAACCAAGACCAGAAGGATGTGTTGAACGATCTTCCCCCGCCCAAGCCAGCATTTCAGAAAAAAGGATGGGAAAAAAGACCCATGCCTGAGGGTGGTTTTGATCAGAATGACCTCCTTCCAGCCCGAAGAGCTCGAACTTCTTTCAGGGTCACCAATTCTATTCCTTCTCCTCAACTATCCATTCCAGAGGGTGAATCAGCCAGAACCTTCGGCTCTTCACCAACAATGACTCCATGACGTCCCTTGTTCAGTTGTGAGGATGGATCAGTTATTGCCCCCATTGACTCTCTATTTAAGGACCCAGTCACTTCATTTGCTTTTTACAAAGGCCTTTGGACTCCAAGGGACATTGAGGTTCAGAACAAAATGACTTTCGATGAAATGTACACCTGTTTCCTTGCAGCTGCTGTTGAGGTAAATTATTATTATTTAAAAAGCTATTTGACGCACGTATTAACCAGAACACTTGTGTCTTTGTGCAGACTTTATTTGGGATGTTCACGTTCAAGAAGAGTATCGAAACTGCGAACAAGAAGATCAAATCCCTCTGTATTGGCCTCAAAAGATCTGTTGAATCAGAAAGGATAAGCGAAGCCAAAAACATAGAGCTGTTGGTTAAGTTGAATGAGTCAGAGAAGGAGATGGATGCTCTGAGGGTTAAAAGGAATGCCCTAAAGGACGAACGAGATTTTCTCCAGGATGAGATGGACGTTCTGAAGACTGAGAAAAATTTCCTTCAGACCTAGAAAGATGCTCTGAGAGTTGAAAAGGGGGACCTTCAGCGTACTCTAATTGCTAAACGTTTGACCCATTCCAATTTTGAAGAGAAGTTCTTAAATGAACGCACTGCTTTGCTGAATGTCATAGGCAGAGTTGATGGTGGCATGAAAGCTCTTCACGCTCGTTTCACTCGGATTGGGGCTCTGAGGTATGCTGAGGGATATAGAGATGGTTTTGTTGACCGTTTTCCTCCCGAGGGTGAATCCAGCTCTTGTGCAGGTCCAGACGAGTTAGATGCCTCCTTGGACATTGACTCGCCAAACGTTTGCAAGGACCCCTCCCCTGTTGCTGCTGAGAATATATTTATTGAGTGCAATGAGATTGCAGCTTCAGGGGTCATCCCTCCAGTTTGGCCTCTGAGTGTTCCTCCCATCACCACCATCATTCCTTCTACATCCGTTGCCTCTGACAGGGCTTTACCAACTGAGGAGATCATCTATCTTGACTCTCCCTCCAGAGATGGTGAAGCTGCCAATGATGGAGAGAGGAACAGTGAGCCAACTGGTGATGCTGGGGCAAGCAATGGATCTGCCATAGGGGGGAGAATACTGCAGAATAACGTTCTACTAACTTTTGTAGTTATTTCCCCTTTATTTCAATGTCACTTCATGCACTTCAAGAACTCTTCTATGATGAATGAAATGAAATGACAACTCTGTTTTGTAAAGCTCCCACATTCCAACCTGTACTTTGAAGTAGTTTAACTTTCTATTTGGTTTTCATTTTGTGCAAGTGTTTGGCGTTCGGCTCGTAGTGCCATTTGCCACTTACTTAGCTAAGTGCTTGGCGCTCGACTAGAATGACACTTGCCACTTTAACTTTTCTGTTTGCATAAGTGTTTAACGTTTGGCTCGTAGTACTATTTGTCACTTATTTGGCTAAGTGTCTGGTGCTCGGCTAAAATGCCACTTGCCACTTGGCTTTTATTTCTGCGCAAGTGTTTGGCGTTCGGCTCATAGTGCCATTTGTCACTTACTTAGCTAAGTGCTTGGCGCTCAGCTAGAATGTCACTTGCCATTTTAACTTTTCTATTCGCACAAGTGTTTGGCGTTCAGTTCATAGTGCCATTTGCCACTTACTTGGCTAAGTGCTTGGCGCTCGGCTAGAATGCCATTTGTCACTTGCCACTTGGCTTTTATTTCTGCGCAAGTGTTAGGCGTTCGGCTCATAGTGCCATTTGTCCCTTACTTGGCTAAATGCTTGGCGCTCGGCTAGAATGCCACTGCATCTCTTTTCTCTTCCAGCAAATCGAGGTTGAATTTCAACATGCTATCGTTCTGCTCTTGATTCTACGCTAAACTTCGAACAGTTGGAACTAAGTGCTCGATCGGTATTACTGCCTCGGTGCCGTATGCCATAGCTAATGGGCTTTCTCTGGTCGGTCGTCTCGGGGTTATTCTATAAGCCCACATGACGTTTGGAAGCTCGTCCAACCATTTTCCTTTTTCTTCTTCAAGCTTCTTCTTAATACAAGCAAAGATTGTTCTGTTCGTGGTCTCAGCTTGACCGTTTGTCTGCGGATGGCTGACTGCTGCTAACTTTTAGTTGATTCCATATTCCTCCAGCAAATCCCTCACTTGCTTACTGTCGAGATTAGTCCCGTTGTCCATACCAATCGATCTTGGCACGCCAAAACGACAAATGATATTACTCCAGATGAAACGTCTTACTTGAGTTTGGGTCACACTAGGATATGGCTTTGCCTCCACTCATTTGTTTAAGTAATATGTTACTAGCAGAACGTATTTATTCTGTGACCTCGTGGTCGGCAGAGGGCCAACCACATTCATCCTCCATTGCGCGAAAGGCTATGGTTTGGCCATTACGTTCAAGTCTTCAGGTGGTTGGTGCATCAATGGTCCGAACCTTTGGCATTTATCGCATCTTCTAGAGAATTCTTTCGCATTTCGCGACATGTTCGGCCAAAAATATCCGTGTCATCACTTTGTGCGCTAGAGATCTTCCTTCTGAATGATTGCCACACACACCCTCGTGGATAGTTCGCAAGATCTGCCTAGCTTCTGTGAGGGTAACACATTTCAAGTACGGTCCGGAGAAAGACCTTCTATACAACTGATTGTGTACAATAGCATACTTTGCAGCATTTGATCTGATTTTCCTTGCCTCATCCTTCCGATCGGGCAACACACCATCCCGTATGAAAGTCATGATTGGGTTAATCCAGCTTGGCTCATATGGTATGACATTAACTTGCCAAGGATCTGAATCGGACGGTTCTTCAAAGATGGATGGCTGACATAACACATCAACTGGTATAACCCTAGCCAATGTTTCTCTATAACCTGATGCACTACAAGCCAATCGATCGACATCTTCATTGTATTCCCTCGACAATTGGATGAATTTAATTTGATCGAAGTCTTTTGCTTCGCGCAAAACGGCGGAGCGGTATGCCTCCATTGTCTCGTCTTTGGTTCCATATTCCCCAGTCACTTGTCGAATGATCAGCTGTGAATCGCTAAAAGCAACGAAACTTTTGACCTTCAATTCTTTAGCCAACTTCAGTCCAGCCATCAATGCTTCGTATTCAGCCTCATTATATTGGTTGCGTTGAACTCAAGTCTGACCGCTTGACTCAGCGTGGTGCCCTCTGGCGTTTGCAGTTTGATCCCAATTCCTGCCCCTATTTGATTTGAAGAGCCATCTACGAAGAGCTTCCATGAGGAACCTCCAAGATCTTCTTCTATGTCTTTTACATCACATTCCAGCAGGAAATCAGCCACCACTTGTCATTTGATGGTTATTCTGGGTTTGTACATTATGTCAAATGAGCTCAACTTTATGGCCCACTTTGTCATTCTTCTTGACAGATCTGGCTTATGCAGGATCATCCTTATAGGAAAGGTGGTCAGAACGACGATAGGATGGGATTCAAAAGAATGCCCGAGTTTCCTTTTTGCATTTACCAATGATAGGATCACTTGTTCGGCCTTTTAATACCTTTTTTCCAACTCGGCCATTGTTTTGCTAACATAGAACACTGGGAACTGCTTACCTTCCACAACGCACTAGAACGACACTCGTTGCAATGCTGAACACATTAAGTTACATAAAAAGCTTTTCACCTAACTCGGGGGCAGATAAGACTGTAGGGTTCCGCATATATTCTTTCATGTTGGTTAGTGCCTGTCGTTGCTCATCCCCCCAGGCCTGCCTTCCATGGCCTCTTATTGTATCGAAAAACGGTTTGTAGCGTCTGACAGCTTAGAAATGAATCGACTCAGTGCGGCTATTCGACCTATGAGTGCTTGCACTTCTTTAATTGTTCTTGGTTCTGCATTTTTTATCAGAGCTTCTGCTTGGGCTATTCTAACTTCAACTTCTCTGTTATTGACCACAAGTTCCAGGAACTACCCATAACTCACACCGAACGAGCACTTGGTTGGATTAAGCTTCATTCCATACTTCCTCAACACCCCGAATACATGTTGCAAGTGTTATAGGTGATCATCCTTTTTCTTACTCTTTACCACCATGTCATCAAAATAGGCCTCTATAATTTTTCCCATTTGATTTTTAAAAATCTTGCTGACCTTAAAAATCTTGCTGACCAGCCTTTGATAAGTAGCTCCAGCATTCTTTAATCTGAACAGCATGACTTTGTAGCAGTAGATTCCTCGTTCGGTGACAAAAGAAGTTTTCTCTTCATCGTTCGGGTCCATATGGATTTGGTTGTAGCCTGAATAAGCATCTAGGAAGGTTAATCGTTCGTACCCAGTGGTGACATCCACCATTTGATCAATCTTTGGCAACGGGAAGCTATCCTTCGGGCATGCTTTGTTTAAATTGGTGAAGTCAATACAGACTCTCCATTTCCCATTCTTCTTCTGCACAACGACTACATTTGAGAGCTAAATCAGGTACCGAACTTCTCTGATGAACCCTGCATCTAGCAATCGATCAATCTCATCAGCTATGATTAGATTGCGTTCTGGGGCGAACCTCCTCTGCTTCTGTCTTACAGGCTTGGTGTTCAGGTCTACATTGAGGGAATGACAAGACACGGAGGGACTGATTCCTGACATATCTGAATGGCTCCAAGCAAACACATCTGTGTTCTGAGACAAGAAATCAATTAACTGCTGTTTTTTCCCCTCTGCAAGCCCCGACCTTACCCTTGTTGTTCTGTCTGGCTTATAATGATATATCTGTACATCAATGAGGGGCTCTTCGGTTAGAACCAAAGGCTTATCCTCCCCCCCCCCCTAAAAAAAATCGTTTTTGGGGGAGGTCCCTATAATTGCTATCTCGGATTGTCAGATTAGGCTGGAGCTTTTCCCTTTCCAGCAACTTTCATTGTCACAGAGTAACATTCCTTGGCTGCAACCTGATCCCCATGGATGTCAATCACCTTGCTCCCATTCGAGCTTAGACATCTCATCATCTGGTGCAGAGTTGATGGGACACCCTGGACCTGTGGATCCATCCTCTTTCCATCAAAAGATTATAAGATGGATGGATCTCAACGACCACAAAGCTCTCTGTCAGAACTTTTTTAGCAGCTTGTACTGGTAATTCTACCATACCAATGGGCTCTACCCGTTTCCCATCGAATCCTAATAGTGGATTTCTGGTGGGTTTGAGTTTTTCTGACTTGATCTCGAGCCGGTCAAACGTTATTCTTGGCATGACGTTCGCACTACTCCCTAGATCAATTAGAACTCTTCGCACCAAGCATTCTGCCACTGTTAAGCTGGACGACTAAGGGATCTTCATGAGGGATCTGTGCATGCAGCAAATCCGTTCTGGCGAACTTTATCTGAACTGATGTGCTCTGCTGGTGCAGAGCGTTTACGCTGCCTATCCTTCTCTTCATCTGCGCTTGTCGGAGGTGCGTTCGAAGTAATTCTTCTAACTCCTCGGTCGGCTCAGGTTGGCCATGAATTGCATTTATTATCCGAACAGGCTGGGCGTTATGGTAGCTCGGCTTTTGATTTCTCTTCACTTGCTCTGTTGGCCGGTTCTGCTCCACTGCCGATCCTTGAATATATCCTGCAAACTCTCCTCTTGCTATCAGCATTTCCACTTGCCTCCTTAAGTTCCTGCATTCATTAGTTTGATGACCAAAATCACTTTGGAAAGCACAATATTTTAGACTGATCTCTCTGTTCGAGAGGTTATCTAATTGGTAGGGGAGAGCGAAACTTATCTTTGTTCTCCTGATATAACCTTGCCAGAGTGACTTTAAGTGGAGTAACCGACTCCTCCTCTCTAGGTCTCTTCTCCACTTTCCTGGAGGTCTGACTCTGTGGTGGAGCTTGTTTTTGCCGGATCTTGGTTTTGGACTTCTCCTCCGTAGAGATAATCGACGTCTTCCTTACATTAGCTGCTTCTTCTTCTTCAAAACGCACGAAACTATTAGCTCTCTCGTTTAGCTCGTCCATGGCCTTCGGCATATTTACCACCAGATTTGTGTGGAACGGTGTCCCTCGGTTCATTGCTAGCTTGAATGCTTGAACCGCCGTGGATGGATGATATTCTATTACCATGTTCTTGACGAGGTTGAACCTGGTAAGGAAAGCTTGGAAACACTCCTCTTCGTGCTGCTTCATTGTGAACAGACTTGAGATATCTTTGGTCGGGCGCTTGTTCCCATAATACTGGCTTATGAATTTGTCGCACAGGTCTTGGAAGCTAGCGATTGAGCTTTTTG